AGAAGGATTAGGATGAGGATGGGGACGACGGTGATGATGATGTGGAGGACGATGCTGATGATGCAGATGATGGTTATGATAATGATGCTGATGATGCTGATGACGATGATGCTGATGGTGATGATGACGATGATGCTGCTGATAATGATGCTGATGATGATGACGATGATGATGGTAAAGATGATGATGCTGATGATTATGATGACGGAGGTGGTGGTGGTGATGATGCTGATGGTGCTGATGCATATTATGCTGACGATGATGATGACGACGACGATCTGGATGCGTCTCATGATGGTGAGGAGGGGGAGTATGCGGGGGATCAACAAAAACAGGACGACAGCGAGGTGGGGGGGGGTGCGGGGGCAGAGGGAGGATAATCATGATACGGATGAGAAGGACTAGGACGAGTAGGAGGTCGAGGAGCAAGAGGAGACGAGGAGGGGTGTGCAGCCCTTTGCCTCTTCCGAGAGGTGCACTTGGTTGTGCTGCTGCCCTCCCCTCCCCTCCCTCTTTGTCGACGTCGTCTTCGCCGCCATCCTTTCTCCTCCCCCTCCTCGTCCTCAGCCCCCTCTCCTTCCTCCTCCCTCGGGGTTTCCCTTCCCTCCCCTTCTCTCCGTCCTCCTTCTCCTCCTCCTTCTCCGCCTGAGACTTTCTCACCCTAGCGGCCAGTCCCTGGCAGGTTTTGTGCCCTTGGAGCCTGGGTGTTAGCGGCGCATTGTTAGTCAAAAAGCCTGAGGCTTCCTCAACTCCGTAGACAGCGCTTGCGACCAGGGGCTCATGTTTTGCCCCGCTTCCGCGCCCACGGGGTCCCAACAGGACCCCCAAAACGATGCTGTCCATCTTGCGGGATCGCTCCCGCCCGAGGCTTCCCTACGCCCGCTGTGACCCCACTCGATCTGGGTCCCACCAACTAGGATCCTATTTGGTAGGATCTCAGCCCATTTGTTCCCACTCCATCGGTTGTACCCTACTCCGAGTTTATTAATAAGCGCCGGGTGGGCGTCACCCCCGCCGAAAGCCCCACATCGACCCCCGTTGCGGGCAGCCACCGCGCGCCGACGGCGCTCCGACCCCCGTCGCGGAGCGACGACGAGGCGAGGTTGACCCCCGTCCGGGGGGTACCCCCGCGCCCTAATTAAGAAACCCAGAGTGTACGTTGTGCCTGGTATCTTCCTTTTCCGAACAATAGTCTGCCCCCTCACCGAGGCTGAGGGTATCCCCTCGCCTCCGCGTATTGTGTTTTCCTTTCGTGCACGGTCGTTCACTCTAACAGCAAATGATGCCATGCCAGCCGCTCCTGAATCGATTCTCCCCTTCTTGAACCTTCAAAAAACCAGGTGGTGCATTTACCTTCGCATACTACCTACGTTTTGCAGCAATCTTAGTCAATCCATACCATGCGAGCCGCATGCGCGCGTTGCCGCGAGCACCTGCAAGCATCATTCAACTGTCATGTTGCCAGATCCCTTCGCTCGCAGTCGCTGAACTCATAAGGCAGCCGTGCATGTTCTGTCATGGTGTCAGATGAGACCATGCGGGCGGGACGCGCGTGCATGCCGAAAGCACTCAATCACCATCGCGCGCCCGCCAACTCTGTCAATGAAAGCAGTGCGGGCCACACGCGCGCGCCTCCTCGCGCGGGCGCGCAAGTCGGAACCCTTTTCGGCACCATATGGCTCCTACGCGTTTCAGCATGGATGTGTCCGACAACATATGGTTACCCAGTGGTTCCCAATCGTGCTGTACGAAGCATGACACCTGTGGGCCCGCGCGTTTTCTCATCATTCGCACTACCATCATCGCCAGCGGCATCGTTGCCATGATCACCATCGTTCCCACTGGCACGATCACCATCACCATCTTCATCGCAATCACCACCACCGCCGTTGTCAACATTAGCATCCTCATCGGCAACGGCGTCATCAACATCATGACTACCATCCTCATCAACACCTTTGCTATCATCGTACCGTCAGCGTCCTCACCACTCACTATCACCTGCATCGCAATCTTAATTGTCATCATCTCATTCCTCATCACCGTCGTCACCATCTTCAGCGCCATCGCCGCCGTTGTCTTCACCCTCTCATCTATTTCGCGTCCTGCTGGATGCATTCGGTCTGAGCTGTTATGGTCCACGCGCCCGCGCGCCTGTGGAGATCATAGCAGTATTAGTGTTGTCAGCTAGCTGCGGCGGGTGGGAGGGTGGGATGTTTGCACGGTGTTGGAGTTGACGACTGCAAGACGGTTAACATCAATTGCACGCCACCCCGTAGGAATGCGAGTGCGCCATATATATTGCGGCCCATGCATTCTTGTTTGCGGATCGCAAATTACTCTGTGATGTACCCCCCAGCCGACTTGCATTAAGTGGCCAGAGTAGGTGGCCCACATTGTTTATGGATGGTGACAGAACAAGAGCCGTTTTTGTTGTGCAGACTACATGGTGTGCGCCCGCGTTGCACGGTTCACAGGACAGCAATGTAAGAATGATGAGCGAGGCCCCGGGCTCGGAGAGGAAGGGGGTGGGAAGGAGGGACAGGAGAAGCACGGAATGGGGGCCTGAAAGTCAACGCGGCAGCAGTGGGGAGACGGTGAAGGAGGAAGAAGCCTACAAGGAGGGATGAGGGATGAGTGGCGATTTTCTCAAGTAGCTCGCCGTTGAGCAGCGAAGCCGCCGCCATATCGCTCTGGTGCCTTGACTGATGAGCCATTCATCACCAATGCAGGACGCGAACGATGCCCTCCGCCCCCCCAGGGATGGCGAGGTCTAAGTTGATTCCCTGGCGGGGCATCGCCCCGCTGGACCACCCAGCAACCCTCGAATCTGGTGACCTTTTCGCAGTTCCCAGCAGTTCGCAGCCCCCTGGGATGGCGAGGTCTAATCTGAGTCCCCAGCGGGGCGCCACTCCGCTGGACACTTCAGCAGCCCTGGAAAGTGGCGACTGGCTCGCAGTTCGCAGCCCCCAGGGATGGTGAGGCAGGCTAACAGGCAAGTGGGGAACAGGCAGGATACAGAAAGGAATCTATGACAAGGGAGGCGGGAGGCGGGAAGACCTGGCGACCGTAGTTCTCCAACCAAAACGAGAGCGAGAGAGAGCTCAACACAGGAGGGTTGGGAGTATAGCCACCACCCCATACCAAAGCCACGTTTAACAGCTGACCTTTTTTCACAGTGGCGTTCATTGCTTGTTGTATGTGTTCTACACGGTCGTTCGTTTTTCAATTTCAAGGCGTAGCATATGCAGGAGGTCAGTATCGCCCCCCCGTCATCCTTGGCAGCAAAACACAGTATGCTGGGCACATGCGCTGATCAGAAAACATGCGTTTTGCAAGAACTCCGATCACATAGTGGCACGCAGCCAGCACGAGCGCGCACACGTCGCAATCTTTCCGAACACATTGGTTTGTCAAGTGTTCAAACTTACATCTATCAGACACAATGTTTTCCAACAGCAAGCGCGTGCTTTCTGTGCTCAGCGCCACACTTACCAGCTACATGACAAGGGCCTTCGCGTCATAACGCGGGTTGAGTTTAGCCAGCAGGTTGCGGGTGGGTTGGTAGGTGGTTGGGATGTTTGTTCGAGCGTTGGAGCTGATCACGCGCAGACGCCCACGGTTAATTCTTCCCTCGCGAAGATTCAGAATCTACCGCTCGGCCCAGGCCAGATTCAACATTACCCATTTGTGTCCTTTTATTTCTGCACGATCGTCCGTCATCAAGATCATGTAACAGGATGCCAGCCTAGTCCTGGCATCCCAGCCAAATAACAATATGCGGTGAACATGTGTTGATCTAAGGACCTAAGGCATATCGAAGACGTTCAGTATCCATCGCGCGTCGGCAAACTCTGTCAAACAATACCGTGCGGGCCGCACGCGTGTGTCTCCGCGCGTGCACGTCGAAGTTCTTCTAACACCATTGGGTTTCCAATCTTTTCAACATGGAGGTTTTCAGCCACATGCGACAACCCATTTTGATACCATCAGAAGCAAGTCTGGAAATCTACATTCTTTGCGAATACGTGTCTCCTCAACATCCCCACCTGTACAATCTATCAGTATCGCTAGCGTCATCAGTGTCATCGCCGCCGTCAGCATTATCGTCACCATCACCATCACCATAGTCGTCGTCTTCATTGCCACACCCATCATCAGCGTCATCTTCGATGTCCCCGCTCTCGTCAAATTTATGGGCGCGCGCTTCCTCGTAACACCCACCATCACAGTCGGTATCATCATTACCAGCGTCATCATTTTCACCCTCATTATCATCACCATCAGCTTCATCACCATCACCATCGTCGTCGTCGTCGTCGGCCTTGTCCGCCCGTCGGCATGATGATGATCATCATCATCATCACCATCATCATCCCCATCACCATCACCATCACCATCACCATCACCATCACCATCATCATCATCATCATCATCATCATCATCGTCATCGTCATCATCATCATCATCATCATCATCATCATCATCATCATCGTCGTCATCATCATCATCATCATCATCATTATTTCATCATCAGAATCATGATCGCCATTGCCATCACCGGCACTATCACCATCACCATCACCATCACCATCACCATCACCATCACCATCGTCGTCATCATCATCACCATCACTGTCATCATTACCATCGTTATAAGCATCGTCATCGTCATCGTTGTCGGCATCGTCGTTGTCGATGCCCAGTTGAGATTCTGCAGGCTTACGCCACATCCGTCGACCCCCCTTGAGTGTAGATTGTTTCCGATGGCTTTGTTTGTGGGGGCGTCCAGTGTGATGGTGGTGTAGATGTAAGCGATAAGGGGGGTTCAGGGGTGTCTTGGGGGCATCTGGGTCCTCCTGGAGGCCGTGTTGGGCGACTCGGGGCCTTTTGGGATTGTCCTGGGGTTTTCATGGGCCTGTCTTGAGGCTCCATGGGGGCGTCTTGGGAGGTTCTTTGGGTGCTCTGGGGGCATGTGGGATCGAGAGCTTCAAGCCTTGCGGCCGAGGCTCCCTCTTGGAACCGTTTGAGAATTCTCTTGGACTGTCTTCGTGGCTTTTTGGGCCGTCTTTGTACCTTCTCGGGCGCCTCTGGTGGTGTGTTTCACGGAAAGTTTGGTGGGTTTTCTCGTGGGGCATCCCGTGGAGCGTTTCGTGTGGTGTTTCGCGGGGAGTTTCGTGGGGTGTTTCGTTTGGTATCCCGTGCAGTGTTTCGTTTCGTGGGTGTTTCGTGGGAGGTTTCGCGTGGTGTTGCGTGATGTGTTTAGTGTTATGTTACATTTGGTTTTTCGTGGGGTGTTTCGTTGGCTGCTCCGTGTGGCGTTGACCCTTGGTGCTTGGAATGCGGGATGGAAGGTGCACGCCTCCAGTGGTACCACTTGAGGCACATCGGGCGAAACGGGAAGGGGAGGAAGAGTCGGAGGATGAGAAGGAGGGTGTGGACGGGGAGGAGGAGGAGGAGGAGGAGGAGGAGGAGGAGGAGGAGGAGGAGGAGGAGGAGGAGGAGGAGGAGGAGGAGGAATAGGGTATGGCGGCGAAGAAGGCGACGACGGCGACGACGACGACGACGACGTTGGGGAGTCATGAATGTTGGTCGGGATCTTGTGGTCGGTCGCTCGGGAGCCTCCTGGAGGCAGATTCAAGGCCTTTTGGGAGCCGTTTTGGGCCCCCTGCGGACGCCTACATTGCGGGTGAGGAGTTATACGCTTCAAGGAGGCACATCGCCGAACACGGGGAGGGGGAGGAACAGTTGGAAGATGAGAAGGAGGATGAGGATGGGGAGGAGGAGGAGGAGGAGGAGGAGGAGGAGGACGAGGAGGACGATGAGTAGGACATGGGGGTAAAAAGCAACGACGGCGACGACGACGACGACGATGGAAGGCTCATGGGTGTTGGTCGGGATCTCGCGGTTGGGCGCCCAGGGGCCGCCTGGAGGCAAGTTCGAGGCCTCCTGGCGGCGGATTGGTGGTGCCTCTTAGGGCCTCTTTTGAGCCTTTGGGGGGCCTGCTGGGGCCTCTTGGGGGGCCTCCTGGGGGCCCCTTGAGGCCTCTTCGGAGCCTCTTGGGGATTCCTGGCGGCCTCTTGGGGCGGGACGCTCGAGATTTCGGTTCGTGGTCCCCCTCTAGGCCCTCTCTTGGGCCCGTCTTGGGGCTCTCTTGGGCCGTCGTGGACACCTCGTGGGCCGTCTTGGAGCCCCGTTGGGCCGTCTGGGGGCCCTCTTGGAGGCCTCTTGGGCCGCCTCGAGGCGGCCTCCGGGCCCTCGTGGGCCGCCTTGGAGCGTCGGAAAGCCAAAAAGGCGAGCTTCTTAAAACTGCACGCTTTGCGAAAGGAATGGAATCATTGTTGCGTCTGGGGACCCTCGTGCTACTGCTCGTGCTACTGCTCGTGCACCGAATCCGTGACACATGCATTTGCCTTGATATGTGAGCCCAAGTTGTTTGTGATGGGCCTGGCAGGCGGTGTGGAGAGTACATGTGGTGCGTCGCGGTCGTCCCCTTCCTCGTAAAACAAAAAAATGCTGCGTCTGGGGACCCTCGTGGGGCGCAGTATCGGGGCCTCTCGGGGTGTCTTGGGGCTCGGCGTCAAGGGGCGCCCCCTGGCGCGCACTGTCACGGACCGGGCCCAGCCAGGGGGGGGGGGGGGGGGTCGAATTCGCAGTTTGGGGTCCGCAGGGGGGGCCATGATGTGGGGGGAGGAATCTCACACGCCTGAGGACCCACAAGGGGTCGGCAGACTTGATAAAAAAACGGTTGGGAGGGTGGGATGTTTGCACGAGCATTGGAGGTGGTCACGAACCGATGTGATCATAGTTCATTGCGCCCCATATGGTGCACCCGATATGTCTTACCCCGTGGGTCGCACAGGGGCATTGTCTGAGATCCACGCGCTATTGTTTCGTGCCCGTACACCTTCTTGAACTTATGATAGCAACGGGAATAGAGGACACGTTGCTGCAAGCGGTGGCCCTCGCTTGCAACTTCTCCAGTTCTTGTGATCCTACAGCTGGGCTCTTGCAGCAGTTCCCCTTCACTTTCTCCTTGTCCTGTCGCTCCTCCTCTGGTCCTCCTCCCTCTCATCTCTCTCTCTCTTCCCTCCCCTCCCTCTCCTTATCTCTCTCCTCCTTTGCTCCTCCTTACCACGCTGTGGTTACCAGCGACTTCCAGCGAATTCCCCTCCTCCCCCTCCTCCTCCTCCTCCTTCTCCTCCTCCCCCTCCTCCTCCTCCTTCTCCTCCTCCTCCCTTTCCTCCTCCTCCTCCTCCTCCTTCTCCTCCCTTTCCTCCTCCTCCTCCTCCCTTTACCACCCCCCTTCCCCGAGGCATGCTGCTGGTGGAGCTTCTGCCCCCCGAGCGCGTGCACGTGTGCGTGCTCGTGGACCAGGCCTGGCCGCTCAAGGGCGCGCCGCCCCGGGACGCCGACGGAGGCGAGGAGAGCCGCAGGAAGCTCGGAGGGCCTAAAGTTGGCCACTCAGTGCAAAGGGGGGGCTGCGCCGGAAGGCAGAAGCGGAGGCGCGGAGGGAGGCAGGGAAGGACGGGCGACGACGGTGAGGGCGAAGGTTGCTGGGAGGCATCGTCGAGGCCGGGCGGGGCCAGGACGGTGGGGGCGGCGATCAGTTCTTCCAGAGGAGTCCGCAGGCTTACGTCCGCGCGCCGAGGAACATTCGAGCAAGCGGGGGCCGAACCTTTTCGCATCTACAGCCAGTGCGATGATTCAGACACTTTGTCGTTACGAGAAGAGTCACGACGGCTGGTTCTTCTCCATCTTCGCCCCCCCGGGGGCTCTCGGGCTCTCACCGGGCGCCAGGACCGTGAAGCAAGTATCCTGGCGAAGGGCCCAGCCATGTGCAGTTGTGAGTGCCGCAGGGCAGGCGGGACGATCGCGGGGGCCATGCACCCCCTGCCTCTGGAGCCTTCTGTGGAGCTCCCTACGGGGCTACGATTTTCGTGAGGGGTGTGCCGACATGGGTGCGGAGTCCCCCTGCACACCCAGCCACTGGAGCCTTCTGTGGAGCTCCCCACGGGCCACGATCCCCGTGAGGGGTGGGCTGTGTGATCCTCGTGAGAGGTTTGCCGTCTGATCTTCGTGAGAGGTGTGCCTTATTGATGATGATGATGATGATGATGATGATGATGATGATGATGATGATGATGATGATGATGATGATGATGATGATGATGATGATGATAATGCTGATGATGGTGATGCTAATGCTGATGATGATGACGATGATGATGATGATGATGATGATGATGATGATGATGATGATGATGCTGACCACGCTGATGCTGATGATTATGCTGATGACGCTGATGGTGATGCTGATGTTGATGATGATGATGTTGAATATGATGATGATGACGATGCTGATGACGATGATGATGACGACTGTGACAATGATGATGCTGATGATGCCGATACTGCTGATGTCGATGTTGATGATGCTGCTGCTGATGCTGCTGCTGCTGCTGCTGCTGATGGTCAGTAATATGATGTTGATAGGGGATGATGCTGCTGATGCTGATGATGATGATGATGATGCTGATGCTGGTGATGCTGATTATCTTTTTGACGCTGATGCTTATGATGCTGCTGATCATGATTCTGATGATGCTGCTGATGATGATGATGATGATGATGGTGATGGTGATGATGATGATGATGATGATGATGATGATGATGATGATGCTGATAGTGATGATTACGATCCTGATGATGCTGGTAATGTTGATTATGCTGCGATGATGCTGATGATGATCCTGCTGATAGTGATGATGGTGATGATGATGCGGATGGTGATGGTGATGATGATGATGATGATGATGATGATGATGATGATGATGATGATAATAATGATGATCATGATGATGCGGATGCTGCTGCTGCTGCTGCAGATGATGCTGCTGCAGATGATGATGCTGCTGATGCTGCTGATGATGGGGAGTAGGATGATGAGGAGGAGGAACAGGTGGAGGATGCAGATGCTTATGCTGCGGATTACGGTTTGCTGCTGCGGCTGATGATGGTGTTATTGATTATGATTACGATGATGATGATGATGATGATGATGAGGAGGATGATGAGGATGAGGATGATGATGATGATGATGATGATGATGATGACGATGATGATGATGATGATGATGATGATGATGATGACGATGCTGATGATGCTTATGATGATGATGATTATGATGTTGTTGAGGTTGATGATGATGATGATGATGATGATGATGATGATGATGATGATGCTGATGCTGCTGATGATGCTGCTGCCGCTGATGATGATGATGATGATGATGATGATGCGGATGCAGATGGTGGTGAGTGCGGAGGGCAAAGATGGATGAGATTGAGACGTGGACGATGATGATGAGGCGGATGATGATGAGGAGGAGGAGGAGAACGACGAAGAAGAGACGTAGGACGAGGATGTCTAGGACGAGGAGGGGAACACGACGCATACGAATACTATTAGCAATACGAATGCGGATACTAACAATACTATTAAGGGGGATACGGTTAAGATGCAGAGTCATAACGCACCTATACTACGAGTACTAATGCCAATGGGACTCATCATAGTTCTAAGAATAATATCCTAAGAGCAAAACCCATTATAACGAGAGTCATGCGAAGAAGAGGATGATTATGGATGAGGAGGAAGTGCGCGGGGCGATGCCTCCTGACACCGAGGACCTAACACCACAGACGGTAGTGAAAAGCAATACGTTATGGCGTGGACCCAACCAATGCAGTTGTGAGTGCCGTCGTTGCGAGTATCGCCTTCTGCGCCATGCGGATCCTGGCATTCGGGCCTTCGCTGGATCCCCCAACGGGACCACGAAGCGAGTGAGTGGTGTGCCGAAATGGGGTGGCGACACAATGCGGAGATATTTGGGCCTTGGCTGGAACCCCTTCAGGGGCCACGACGCGAGTGAAAGGTGTGCCGAAATGAGGCACGGGCGCAATGTAGACCCTGGCATTTGGGCTTTGGGGCCACGAAACATGTGAGAGTTCTGTCAGAATGAGGCACCGACGCCATGCGAACCCTGCCACTGTGCCATTAGCTGGAGCTCCCCATGGGACACGAAACGTGTGAGTAGTGCAGCAAAATGGAGCACCGACGCCACGCGAATCCTGGCAGTTGGACCTTAGCTGGAGCTCCCCATGGGGCCACGAAACGTGTGAGGGGCGTGCCAAAATGAAGCACCGACTGATCCTAGCATTTGGGCCTTGGCTGGAGCTCTCGCAGGGGCCACGAACAGTGTGAAGTGTGTGTGTGTGCCCAGATGAGGAACCGCCGCCGTGCGGATCCTGGTATTTGGGCCTCAGCTGGAGCTCTATCTGGGGCCACGGAGCGTGGGAGGGATGTGCACGGATAAGGTACCGACGCCATGCGGACCCTGGCATTTGGGCTTTAACCTATGGGGCCACGAAGCGTGTGAGAGGTGTGCCAGAATGAGGCGTCGACGCCATGCGGACACTGGCATTGGGCCTTAGCTGGAGCTCCCCCTGGGGCCACGCAGCGTGAGAGGGTTCGCCGAAATGAGGCAGCGCCGCCATGCGGACCCTGTCACTGGAGCCTTTGGTGGAGCTCCCTATGGGGCCGCGAAGCGTGTGAGAGGTGTGCCCAAATGAGGAACCGCCGCCATGCGGATCCTGGTATTTGGGCCTTGGTTGAAGCTCCCTATGGGGCCACGGAGCGTGTGGGGGGTACGCCGAAATGGCCGCGCGGACCCTGACATTTGGGCGTGAGCTGGGGCTCCCTGGGGCCACGCGTGCGTGAGAGGGGTGTGCCGAAATGAGGCACCGCCGCTATGCGGACCCTATCACTGGAGCCTTCGGTGGAGCTCCCTACGGAGCCACGACGCGCGTGAGGGGTTCGCTGAAATGAGGCATCGCCGCCATGCGGACTCTGCCACTAGGGCCTTTGGTGGAGCTCCCTATGGGGCCACGAAACGTGTGAGGGGTTCGCTGAAATGAGGCATCGCCGGCACGGCCTGAGGTTGCGAACATAGTCCTCTTCCAGAGGTGGTCCTGGGTGGTCTCAACTCTCCCCCTTTGGTGTTGAGACTGTCCCAGACCATCCTGGGGCCCCGTTGGGCACTGCTGGGACTACATCCAGGAGCTGTCTTCTCTGCGCTCAATCCGAGGCCTTGACATGCCTCCGAGGCGTGAATGAGGTTCGTGCTTTCCTTGGCGTGGGCCCGACATTCGGGCGTCTGGTGGTCGCCCCGCAGGCCCGAACAAGAATGCAGCGAGTGGACTGAGAAGTCTGTCCAGAGTTCCCGTGGCCTGGATAAGTCCGCGCGCATCTTGGAAAATGCGAGCCAGCTGTCCGGGCCAATTCGACCCTCCTTCCTCTTGCTCCTCTGCTTTTCCCTCCCGCATGCGGCTTTTCTTGCCCCAGCCCGATTGCCTGGGCTCTTGCTCGGCACGCTGACAACCGTGCAGCAAGTGCCCGAGGGAAGCTCGGCGAGTGGGGCAAGCCACGCCCAACGCCGACGGTGGAGGCTGGATGCGGGCCTGCTGGCCCGGTCATCGTGATGGTGTTGCGGAGCGCGCCGTGCCGCTTGCACGCGGCGGCTTCGGCCACGGGCTGCCGAGGCACACCTCGGGGAGCCCCTGTCGCCGGCCCACTCGGGCAGGCTTTTTTGCGCCCTTGGTTCGCTCCGCGCCGCAGCGCCCTCGTGCCAGCGTGCCCTCGCGGAGACCGGGGGGGGGGAGGGGGGGGGGGTCCTCGAGCAGCGAGGCCGAAAGTCAGGCAGCACCTCGGGCGCCGGGGATCACGAGGTGCGTCGGAGCCCACGGCGGGGCGTGCCCGCACCCACGGGTGTGGCGCCCTGGGGCTCTGGCTGCCCTGTGAGCTCCTGGCCTGGTCGTCGTGTGAGGGCTCGGGGCGTGCACGGATGCCATGGCCCCTCTCCTCGTTGCAGTTCGGCCCTCCGCCCTCCCCCCTGGCGCCGCGCACGTGCCCCGGGCCACGAGTTGCGACCCCCCTCCCCCCTCTCGGACGCCCCTCGCGGGCGCCCCCCCGAAGGAAGCGCACGCGGCTCAACTGGGACCACGTCTACGGCCTGCCCTGGCCTGCCCCGCTCACGACGCGGCGCTCCGACCTGAAGCTGCCCTCCACGCACAAGCAGATGCTCGAGAAGATCCTCGAGCCCGCTCCAGGTCGGCGTCCCCTCTTGTCCTGCTGGTGGCCCTCTCGCTTTCGCCTGCTCCTCCTTCCTCCTCCTCCTCCTCCTCCCCCTCCTCCTCTTCCTCCTCCTCCTCCTCCTCCTCCTCCTCCTCCCTCCTCCCTCCTCCTACCCCTCGCACCCCTCGCACCCCTCGCACTCCTCCTTTTATCCAACCGGGGGGCTCTTTGTAAATTTCACGGCGACGTCGACGTTTTGGCTGTCAACGTTGACGCTTCGGCGTCGACGATGCACAATGCGTGGCAGGCATGGGGCGGGGTGCACATCCCTGGGCGAAAGGGCGAAATGTCGCTCTCGCCTCGGCGCCGCGCACGTTCTGTCTGTTTAGAGAGCTCCCGTTTGGGTGCGGCGCGCATTTGTTCCTCGTCCATTCTTCAACGCGCGATCGGCCAAACTCGCTCTCACCTCGGTGCCGCCTCCTCCTCTTCCTCCTCTTCCTCCTATCACTTTCGACTGCTGGGGGCTCTTCGAGTGGGCATGTGGCCGAGAACCACACTCAATGCAGCAGCGCTGAAGTCATGTTCCCCCCCCTCTCCACATCCACTTCCTCCTCTCCACCTCTACCTCCGCCTCTGCCCACACCTCCTTCCGTCCATGCCCTCTCCCTCCTTCCCCTCCGCCTGACCTGCCATCTCCCTGCCCCCCCAGAGCCCCCTGCCTATGGCCATACGGCGAATGACCTGTCCGGCGGATGGGGTCGAGAGCTCCCGGGGCACTCGTCTTGAAAAATATGGCATCAGAGCTCCAAGCCACCTGTATCCTTCCCCAGATGTTTGGGTCTTGCCCTAGCAGTGCCCCCTCCGGTTTCTCTTCGCCACCCTGCTCACGACCCGGCCCCGTCCCTGCTAGCTGGCGCAGTCCGAGCGTAGATCTTCGGCGCCGTAGGTCCCAGCCCTGCTTCTCAGGCTCTCCTGCGCCCCGCGTCCGCTGCACTCCCGTGGCCCCTCCTGGCGAGCTCTACGAGACATCTCCAAGCTCCGAGAGGAAATGAGCACGCAGATCTCGGTGACCCGTTGTGAATCGACCGCTTGCGCGATCTTGACATCGCAAACGATTTGGAAGAGAACGCTGTTCCCGTAACTCATGGCGGCGATGATGCGCTCACCAATGTAGAGTACTACGACTGGTTTACTAGCCAGGGGGTGATGGGGGAAAGTGTCCTTGCTAAGCTAAGTTAGGAAGGAGCCCTTTCTCACTTCATGAAGGTGTGACATGGTCGGTTATGAATACGAACTTCGTGTGGTATTTCACATGCAGTCGTTTTACTTGAGGCGGCTGGGTTGGCTGGCGCGTTCAGAATCTCGGGGAGGGGAGGGGGGAACAACATCGCCGTCAAACAGGCGCGTTCGAAGTGAACGCATCGAGGGGTCCCTGGGGGAAATACACGTCTGCGTGCGCCGTCGGTTTCCTCTCGGTTTCCTGGCCGCGTGCGGCGCAGCCTCCAGAGCCATTCAGCTGCCTCTCTGTGCCTCTCAGGCCCGGTGTTCGTTCTCGGCATCCACCTCTGCGGCCTGCTGTCGATCCGCGCCGTGGAGACCTTCAACAGGGGGCCCAAGTGCGCTGGCCTCGTGCTGAAGCCCTGCTGTCTGCCGTGCCAGGAGTACGCGAAGAGCAGGACGAACTGGCGCCTTGGCGCCCACTCCTTCGCCGCCACAGAGGCGCCCGTGTCCCAAAGGTCAGCATAGTTAGATGTCTCAAGTGTGCGAGACCTGCTCTGAAGCGCTTTCTGTTGGGAGAGGCATTTGTGAGGGCACTTTTTCGGGGTGAAGGTCTCACTGGAGGCGCGTGCAGCTGATCGCCGTACTTCTTCAGGTGTCGCACCTGGCTTTGGTCGGTTCCATGTGTAAATCGTGTCTGCAACCCTTGTCGCCTCGGATATCGTCAACAGCTCATCCAGACACGCTTTGGATGGAAATGGAACGTCCGCGACTCCCGATACATTTATTACCAGAGTGAGGGGGCCGAACGGTCATTCATTGTCGCTGGGCGCGTGGCTGAAATAGAATTTCGCGGTGAAGATTGTTGTTGCGTCGTTGAGCTCTCACTCCTAAAAACCTATTATGGTTGATCCTCCCCCCGTTGCCCATTTTATGGTTTCTCAATTAAAGGGCTCCTCCCAGGCCTCGCATTTATATATATATATATAAATAGGGAAAAAGCCTTGAGGCTCAGATTGTGCACCTGGCCCCCTGGTTTACACCAACAACGGATCCCACTTGATACTTCCTCGCGATGTATTCCAAAATCGCGCTCTCGCGAGGGAATCCTCTACAATTTTAACAGAAAGCGCACTCTCGCGTGGGACTTGCTTGCAATTTATTCAGACGCTGCGCCCTCGACACTCGGGAATCACGCTCTCGATTCATTTGGGAATCGCGCTATGGCTCGAGACTTCCTCGCGATTCGTGCAGGACTCTCGCTTCGGCAACCCGCTTGCTCGACCTGGCCGCCTGAGTCCGCCTTCCCGACCGGCCCGTTCGGGTCTGCCCGCCCGATCTGCCCGTCTGGTTATACCACGTGTTTTCTGCTTCTAGCCCCTCTCCTGCTAATCTCTCTCGTGCTCCATCCTTCTCCCTCTCCCTTCCATCCGCCCTCTCTTCCCTGTTGTAGGGGCTGCGCTAAATATACGTTGCAGATAAGGAAGATACATCCGCAGGGGGCACGATCGAAGACGAAGAGGGCGGGTATCCGGAATTGGAGATGTACGTTTTCAATGGCACGCGGGCAGATGGGAGCGACCAGTCTCAACTTGGTTGTTTGTTGCTGTTGCTGTTGTGTTGTTGCTGGGTTTTCATTCTTGCATGCATATTGTCGCCAGGAAGGTTTTCATGCTCAAACTGTGCCATTGGCGCCCTGGCCACAACTCCCGCCTGATGTTTCCCCACCACTTCTTTTCTTATTATTTTTCTGATTCTTCTTCTTCTTCTTCTTCTTCTTCTTCTTCTTCTTCTTAGTACTATTATAAAGCAGTGCTCTTGCGCGGGACTTCCTCACAATGTATGCAGGAATCGCGCTCTCGCGTGGGACTTCTTTGCTATCTATTCAGACGCCGCGCTTTCGACACTCAGGAATCACGCTCTCGATTCAATTGGGAATCGCGCTATCGCTTAAGATCTCCTCGCGATCCATGCAGGACTCACGCTTCAGCAACCCGCCTGCTCGACCTGGCCGCCTGAGTCCGCCTTCCCGACCCGCCCGCTAGGGTCTGCCCGCCCGATCTGCCCGTCTGGTTATACCACGTGTTTTCTGCTCCTAGCCCCTCGCATAGTTTCTATCGTGCTCTATCCGTCTCTATCCCCCTTCCATCCGTTCTCTCTTCCCCTGTCTTGGGCGCTGCATTAAGTGCACGTGGCAGGTCAGGATTACATACCCCCAAGGGGGCAGGATCGAAGACGAAAAGGGCGGGTATTGAGGGTTCAGGATCAGATAGGAGTGAACTGTCTTGACATGATGATCGACGTATCTTCCTTAGAGCTAATTATGGTATATCCCTTCCGGTAACCACTGCATACGGATTTTCAAGTATTTTTCCGGGCTAGCACCTGGTTTTCAGCAAACGGAAAGTGAGGCGTCACCACACTGAGCTGTTGGGCCCCAGTTTACGCCAAAAGCTGTTCCCGCCTGATATTTCCTCACAATGTATTCGCAAGTCGCGCTCTCGCGCGGGATTTCTTCACACTTTCTTCCCAAGTCGCGCTCTCGCGTGGGACTTCCTCGCAATGTATTCAGACGCCGCGCCCTCGCCACTTAGTAGTCACGCTCTCGCTGTGGATTACATTTGTTTTTTTGTCAGTGGGGAAATCGCGCTATCGCTCGTGCGGGATTTCTTTACAAACTATACAGGCATCGCGCTCTCGCGTGGGACTTCGTCGCAATGTATTCAGACGCCGCGCCCTCGCCACTTAGGAATCACGCTTTCGCTGTGAATTACTTTTTTTGGGGGGGGCAATCGCGGGGGGCAAGCGCGCTATCGCTCGAGACTTCCTCTAGATTCACGCAGGACTCACGCTGCAGCAACCCGCCTGCCCCTTGTCCTTGCCTTCCATCCGTCCTCTCTTCCCCTGCCTTAGGGGCTGCACGGAATACACGTAGCACGCAGGGAGTCTATATGATTAGTGAGGGCACGATCGAAAACGAAGAGGAAGGGTATCGAGGGTTCGGGGTACAGGTGTTGAATGGCACGCGAGCAGATAAAAGCGAACAGTCCTTACATTGTTATTGTTGTTGTTGTGGTTGAACTCTCATTAAAAGTGTTTTTGGTCCCCCGTCCGGCAACCATCGTGTATTTTCAATTCAAGCGCTTCTCCCAGGGCTAACTTTCTTTACGCGGGATAGTGAGGCGTCACCAAATTGGGTTGTTGTTCCCCGTTTTAACACCAACAGCGGCTCCCGCCTGATATTGCGCGCGCGCGCTCGTGCGGGATTTCTTTACAGACCATACAGGCATCGCGCTCTCGCGTGGGACTTCCTCGCAATCTATTCAGACGCCGCGCCCTCGCCACTTAGGAATCACACTCTCGCTGTGGATTTCCTCTAGATGTTTTGGGGAATCGTGCTATCGCTAGAGACTTCATCGAGATTCATGCAGGACGCACGGTTCAGCAACCCGCCTGTCCCTTGTCCTTTTTTTTCCATCCGCCTTGCCTTAGGGGCTGCTTGAAATACACGTTGCAGGTAAGACAGATATATCTTTAAGGGGGTACGGTCGCAGACGAAGAGGGCGGCACGCGAGCGAACAGTCTGGACATTATTGTTGTTGTTATTGCCGGTGTTGTTGAAGTTTGATTTGTGAAAATATTGTTGATCCCCCCCTCCAGTAAACATTGTATTTTTAAAATCCAGTTTTTCTCCCAGGGCTAGCACCCAGTTTTTCTAACAAGAAAGTGAGGCGTCATCTAACTGGGATGTTGGGCCCCGGTTTACGCCAAAAGCTGTTCCCGCTTGACTCCCGCCTGATACTCCCTCACAATGTATTCCCAAATCGCGCTCTCGCGCGGGATTTCTTCACACTTTCTTCCCAAGTCGCGCTCTCGCGTGGGACTTCCTCGCAATGTATTCAGACGCCGCGCCCTCGCCACTCAGGAATCACGTTCTCGATGTGGATTTCCATTGTTTTCTATTTGGGAAAGTCGCGCTATCGCTCGAGACTTCCGCTAGATTAACGCAGGACTCACGCTTCAGCACCCCGCCTGCCCCTTGTCCTTTCCTTCCATCCGTCCTCTCTTCCCCTGCCTTAGGGGCTGCACGGATACACGTAGCACGCAAGGAAAACATACCTTTAATGAGGGTACGATCCAAAACGAAGAGGGCGGGTATCGAGGGTTTGGGATATAGGTGTTGAGTGGCACGCGAGCACATGAGAGCGAACAGGCTTGAAATTATTGTTGTTGTTGTTGTTGTTGTTGTTGTCGTCGTCGTCGCCCGCGACTCGCCCGCGACCCACTCCGCGACCCACCCCGCGACCCACCCCGCGACCCACTCCACGACCCACCCGCGACCCACCCGCGACCCACCCAAATTGCTTTGACCAATATTCGGCGTCTGCGGCGGGCTGATTCCGCAATCTATTCAAGAGTCGGCGTTCGCGGCGGGCTTCTTTAGAGCGGGGCTACGGTACCGGCCCGATGTTGTCCCCTTGCTGCCTGCATGTTGTTGTGGGTGTTCGAGAGCCGGCCGTCCAGGTGGCTATGTGGGGAAAGTACAACAAGAACCAGTGGCACGGGCCAGCCAAGCACACGCTGGCCTCCCGCTTCCGGTGCTGGGCCGACAACCTGTACCGGGGGATCGTCGCCGACGCCAAGAGCTACGAGCGTGTGCCTCTCGTCGAGGGGCACTACCAGGACGCCTACCTCTTTGCGGAGCGAGACTTCTCGCCGGACGCCCCGCCGCCGCCGCCCAGCCTCGAGGAGGACGGCCCAGCGCTCGTGAGGCAGATCTTAGCCGCTAGTGCTCCGGCAGACGTGCTGGGCGTGTCCGCGGATGCCTCTGGCAGGGCTCTGCATCGCCGGTTCGCAGCACTGTCGAGGAGCATCGGTCTGCTCATGCCAGAGATGCCCGAGGCAGAGGAGGCGTTCATACGCCTGAAGGTGGCGTACGACGGCTTGCGCGCGGAGAAGCGGGAGTCCGTGGCCGACCATGACACATAAATGCTTGCCAGCTCAGATCCTCCATCCTTCTCGTTCCCTTCTTTCGGGGGAACGCAAGACCCGAGTAAGCCAGAACTCGGGTTTGCCGACGTTTTTCTGACGAGCGGGTTTTGGATTTTGACGGTTTAGTTTTCGTGGGATGTCTGCAGCGGGAGCTCGCGTCAAATTTCAGATTGGGCCTCGTCATTTTTATGATGGCCCCGTCGGGCCAACCCGAGTCCCCCGTACCCGAGTCTTACGTCTCCCCGATTCTTCGTTCCACGCTAGCTGATCCTTTCCTGCAGGCCCAGGAGGGCCAGGCAGCCTTCTCAGTTCCGATCTTCTCCCGCGCTCTGTCAAGCCCTACACCCCAGAAAGGTTTTGGGCTGTCTTTTCTGGAATTTGTGTCGATCTGCAGCCAGTCCTACCGAGTTCGGCTCTCCCCCACACCCACCCCAGAACAGCATGGGCGGACCGAGCCCCTGGCCAAGAAGAATCGGCGGAGGATGACAATACCCTGTGCAACGAATGCTGTATGGCTTTGATTGAGACTCCAAGGTGCACCAGGGGCACCCGCTGAGACAATGTACGATTTGGTTGCCCGGGTTATGTCCTGCACAACCTGTGGCCATGGCGCGACCTATTCAGGGGTGATGTCGTCGTGTTGCGTCATCGGTCACTTTCGCGCGGCAACCTGCACAGTTGCATCCGTAAGTGCATAAATCCCGCCCTCCCGTGGTAGTGGTGGTAGTCAGTTTCTGTTTCGCCACAGGAGCCTTGTGCTGGTGGGCCGAGGGTCTGGATTCCTTGCTGACCCAAGGTCTGGCCGAGTTTTTTCGGAGCAGCAGAAGTCATGGGACCGGCGGGCCAGAGAAACCCGGCGAGATCCGCCGAAGTCCCCCGAGGGCAAGAGAGGCACGTGGCGCCAAGGCATCCTGCAAAGGGTTGGCTTTCCAGCTGACTGCAAACTGCACGACGCAACAGCCAACCAGGGAGGAAGAGGAGCATGAGGATAAGGATAAGAAGGATAAGCATGAGGATGAGGATGAGGACGAGGAGAAGGACGGAGGTGCATCAACGCAAAGAGGATGATGAGTATGATGGTGCCGTTGATGGTAGTGCGGATGTAAAGATGATAGCGATGCTGATCGTGGTAGCGTTGCCGACGACGATGATGATAAATATGATGTTGATGCTGTTAATCCTAATGATGATGATGATGATGATGATGATGATGTAGATGATGATGATGATGATGATGATGATGATGATGATGATGATGATGATGATGATGATGATGATGATGATGATGGTCACGACGATGGTGATGATGATGGTGGTGATGATGCTGATAATGCGTATGATGCTGCTGATGATGATGGTGATTATGGTGATGATGCTGATGATGCTGATGCTGATGATGCTGATGATGACCAGGATGATGATGGTGATGATGATGGTGATGATGATGATGATGATGATGATGATGATGAGGCTGACGATGATGCTGATGCTGATGATGGTGCTGATGATGATGACGCGGAGGAGGATGATCAGGAGGGTGAGGGTGAAGTGGAGGGGGAAGGAGGAAGATGATGATGATGAGGAGGAGGAGGAGGAGGAGGAGGAGGAGGTGAAGGAGGAGGAGGAGGAGGAGACAGGAGGAGACACGCGCGAAAGCGTGCTGGCGCTCTTTCGCTTGGTGGCCCGAGGGGTGGCCAGACGTGCAGCAAAGGGTGCCCCTCGAGGCTCTGCCTATAGAGGCCTCAGGTCTGAGCGATTGCACAGATGAGGAGGATGAGGATGGTTCTGATGATGATGGTGATGGTGATGATGATGGTAATGATGATGATGCTGATGATGATGACGATGCTGACGATGCTGATGATGGTGACAATGGTCATGGTTATGCTAATGCTGGTGCTGATGGTGATGAAGGTGGTAGTGATGATGAGGCGGATGATGAGGTCGTTGATAATGATGCTGCTGTTGCTGATGATGCTGTTGATGTTTATGATGATGGCGATGATGATGCTGATGATGATGATGATGCTGACGATGCTGCTGCTGCTGCTGCTGATGATGATGATGATGATGATGATGATGATGATGATTGGGGTGATGATGCGTATGCTGGTGATGCCGATGACGATGACGATGACGATGATGGTGATGCCACTCATTGTGATGATGATGGTCATGATGGTGATGATGGTGCTGATGATGATGATAGTGGTAATGGTGACGATGACGGTGATGATGACGATGATGGTGATGATGATGATGATGACGCTTATAATGGTGGTTCTGATGATGATGTTGATGATGACGATGACGATGACGATGACGATGATGATGATGATGATGAGGATGAGGATGGTGATGATGATGATGATGATGATGATGCTGATTATGATGATGATGATGATGATGATGATGATGATGATGATGATGATGGGGCTGGTGATGATGATGATGATGATGATGATGATGATGATGATGATGATGGTGATGATGCTGACGATAATGATGGTGATGATGATGCTGCTGATGATGATGATGATGATGATGATGATGGTGGTGGTGGTGATGCTGCTGCTGCTGCTGCTGTTGATGATGATGATGATGATGATGATGATGATGATGATGATGATGATGAGGATGATGATGATGATGATGATGATGATGATGATGATGATGATGATGATGATGATGATGATGATGATGATGAGACACGAACATTGCGTACTTTTACGCAGGTTTATGGCCTCGAGGGCGCGACTATTGAGTAAGTACAAGGGTTTATGGCGTCGGGGGCGCGAATAATGTAATTTACACGCGTTATTGCGTTTGGGACGCAAACATGGTGTAATTTACAAGTGATTATGGCCTCGCGGACGCAAAAACCGTGCAATTTACGAAGGACTACGGTTTCGCGGACGAGAATATTTAGTAATTCAAAAGGTTTACGGCCTCGGGGACGCGAACATGCTGTAATTTATTCAGGAGTTTGGCCTCGGGGACGCGAATATCAGGTATTTTTTCGTGTCCCACGCCCCCCCAGGAATTCTGAGAACCCTCCCAGGGCGTGGTAAAAAGTCCCGTTTGGGGCTCACGCCCCTGGCGCGGACATCAACAATTAACAGTGAGGAAGCAGAAAGCAGGACTGTAGCAGTGGAAACTGGAAAAACTGGAACAGGGAGCTGCACACTTCACTCTCGCAGCCTGGTGGCCCCGCAAGGGGGCCGGCGGATATGCCTGTTGGGGTCGCTTGGGATGCCTCTCGCGAGCCTCACGGAGATTTGTCGACGGAGGCCTCCTGAGGGGGCTCTTTGGGCCTCTTCGTGGCCTCTTGGGGTTTTCTGGGTGCTTTGAGGGGCCCTTGGAGGAGTGTTTGGTTCTTGTGGGCTCTCTTCTTGGAGGACAAGGCTCCCGAGGCCAGTTCGAGTTCCCCCTCTTGAGCCTCTCTCTAAGGCTTCTTCGACCGTGTTTTGGGCCTCTTGGGCCGTCTTGGGGCCCTCCTTGGCCGTCTTGGGGCTCTCTTGGGGGCCTCTTGGGCCGTCGTGTGGCGATCTTGGGCCGCTTAGGCCGTCTTGGGGGCCCTGATGCTCGAAAACTCGAGTGCGCCGACATTTTTCGAACACGTAAAGGAAATTATTGGTTTTACCATTTGAGGACCTCTTGTGGGTCTTCTTGGGGCGTGTTGGTGGCCCTCTGGGCCCTCTTGGACCATTTTGGGGGGCCTCTTGGAACCTCTTGGCCCGTCTTGGCGTTCTCTGGCCTCATGAGTCATGCGAGCAGCCACAGGGACTCTGGCAGTTGGGGCTCTGTGCCTCTTGGAGAGGTTTGCAATCCTCGGTGCAGACGATCCGGATGGACCTGTGGACACCCTGCTCAGAGCCTGCGATACGGTGGCGCGCAAAACGCTCCCCTGGAAACGCGAGGGCCACATGGGCCTGCGGGGGACCAGGCCCCATGGGCCTGCGGGGGACCAAGAGAGCTCACCGTCTCTGCAGGGCGGGGCCACTGTGTCCACATTGCCTACGGCCGCCGACAGGGGCTTCTCCTCCTTCGACGCCGCCTCTCTCCGTCTCCCCAACCTCTCTCTCACGCTTCTCCTCCACCTCCTCCTCTTCCTCCACCCCCGCCCACTCATCCACTCCTCCTCCCCCCCCTCTTCCTCCGCGCGTCTGTTCGGCCGACCCTGGGACAGCCTTGTTCGCGGGGAGGGGCAACTGTACAGATCCGCCTCGTCCTCCTCGTCGCCGTTGTCCTCCTCCCCCTCCCCGCAGGCTTTTTCTCTCTTGTAGGCACGCTGCAGACGAAGGGAGAGCCGATAGCCGAAGCATTCCTGGCCCGAGGCCCCTGGTGGCCGCGGGCCCAGAAACCCGTTGGGTTCGGCTCCTTGTGGAGCCCTTCTGGGGACGCTCAAACTTCTTGAATTCCGTGCCTTCTTACACAACAATTTTGTGTGCCTCGTGTGCCGAGGGCCGTGATCCTAAGGTGGGTCCAGGCATGCTCCTCGAGGCCTGGGGGACGCCAGATGCGGCGCCCATTCCCAAGGTGGTCGTCTGTGCACTGCGCGGCGCTCTCCCTGCAGTGTCTTATCTTACCCTTCCCCTCCTCCATCCCAGAACAGATGAACGCAATCAGAGGAGGGGGGAGGGAGGAGGAAGGGGGTGGAGCTGCACAGATGTTCGCTTCCCCTCCTCCCCCTCCCCCCCCTGCGGGCCCAGGCCGAGTCCGACGCAGAGAGGCTGGGCGCCGAGGCCCCGGGCAGCGGCGCGCCGCTGCCTCGTGCGCGGCCGACGCCCCCCTGACGGGGGGGGGGTGACGGGGTGGGTGCGGCACCGAGGAGGAGGAGGAGGAGGAGGAGGAGGAGGAGGAGGAGGGAGGAGGAGGAGGAGGAGGAGGAGGAGGAGGAGGAGGAGGAGGAGGAGGAGGACGAACTGGAGGCGGAGGAGGAGGACGAGCTGGAGGAGGAGGAGGAGGAGGAGGAGGAGGCGGAGGAGGAGGACGAGCTGGAGGAGGAGGAGGAGGAGGAGGAGGAGGAGGAGGAGGAGGAGGCGACGACGAGAAGGAGCAAGCTCGCGCCGCCGCCGCCCCCGCGGTGGCGTGTGCTTCTTGGCCAGCTCTGGGGGGTGCCTCGGCCACGGGGAGCGGAGCCCGGTCCAAGGGCTGCTCGAATTGCGTGACGAGCATCGCGGCGGACGGTGCTCGGCTCCCTTCGGGCTCTGGTGGCCCTGACCGGGCCGCGGGAAGGAGAAGGAGTGTGAGTTTTCAGGCTCGATGAGCTGTGTCTCTTGCAGGAGGATGGAGAGGTGGGGGTGGAGATGCGTTTTTGTGGTGCTGGTTGTGCTCGAGCCATTTTTTCGGGAGGATGAGAAGGAGGAGGAGGAGGAGGAGGAGGAGGAGGAGGAGGAGGAGGAGGAGGAGGAGGAGGAGGAGGAGGAGGAGGGAGGATGATGTCCCAAGCCTGCGCAGCGGCTTCCGTGAAACTCCCTGAGCTTTCAGGGGGCTCCCGGGCTTTGCGACCCCTCGAGCTGGGGACGTATAAGCGAATCCACTGGCCTGACGCGCGCAGGTTTCGGAGCTTGACGCGAGCATCGACGAGTGGGCGGCGCAGGGCCGCGCGCCCTCTCTCGCTGTCGCCTCTCGCCTCCCGCGTGGCCGGGCCTGAAGTGTCGTCGTCCTGAGATCGGAGCGATGGGCATCTTCAGTATACAGAGCGTCACGTTTCCCCCCCCCCCAGGCATACTCATTGCGAGTGTTCAGGCAAAGGGATTCCCAGCAGGGACCATGAGTGTCCCTCCCGACCAGCCCACGCGTTCTGCAGGATGCATGGGGTTTCTGCTATCCTGGCAACAGTCTGGACAGCTTGCATTCCAGATTCTGGCCTTCGGGGACTCGTTTCCATCCCAGGGACTTGCACGGGGCAAACAACACGCTGCGCAAACTCGATGCGAAAGACGGGCTCGAGAGCTCCCGAGGCTCACGCGTTTGAAAAGGCAGGACGGTCGAAGCCTCGGGATGCACGAGGGATGGCTCCAAGGCGGGGCTGCTTGCGTGTGCACATGCAATGGTGAGCGGGCTGTGAGGAGAAACAGTTGAACATAGTCAACCTCCACTTCCCGCTCCCGCATCCCTCCGACATCCCGCTCCTCCGTTCCCCACCCCTCGCTTTGCTTCTCTTCTCTCCCCTCCCCTCCCCTCCCCTCCCCCTTCCATTCACTCTCCTGCCTGGCCTTCCCCTCTCTCCTCCCATGTCCTCCTCCGTGCCTCTCCTCCTCTCCACCTCCCATCCATGGCTGCCCATCCCTAGGTGTGCTTGGTATTGATTGCGCTTGACCGGGAGACAAGAACTGTGGGTTCAGGGGATCTGGACCGTGGGAGAATGGAGTGGCAGAGGAAATCGACGAGGAGGTGAAGGGGGGACGGACGACGATGAAGGGCGTTCCAGAAAGAGCCGCCACAGGCCTGCAGAAGCAGCGCCCCCCTGCAGACTGGTGCTGCCTCGGGGGCTGGACGTGCACGCGCGATGGCCACTTTTCGGTGCCCGCGCGGCCAGGAAGGTGCCCCCCCCTCGGGATCCAGCTCCCGGCAGGCGCTGCTCTCGAGGTGCGGTGCCCCTTTTCCGAGGTCCGAGAGGGGAGAGTGCGGAGTTCGGCTCGCGCGTCGCTGGCGGATGGAGAACGCGGGGGTTGCAGGAGGATGCGAGAAGGGCCCTCGGGAAGGGGCGAGTGCAATTACACAGCTGTTTTGGCCATTCGTAGCCGTCTCTGGTATTGTGCAATGTTTCGTAGGGTGCGTCTCTTTATATGCTTCGAAGTGCCTGTGAGCATGAAGCCAGGGTTAAGCCTGACTTCGTCCAATCGCTCCACTACCGTGCCAGGAGTCGACGCTTGGGAAAAGAGGTGGAGGAGGACGAGGATTCGGATGAGGAAGAGGAGGAGGAGGAGGATGAGGAGGAGGAGGGGGGGAAGGAACTGGAGCAGGAGGGGGATCATGTAGGTGGATGAGTCACGAGGATGATGAGTCATGAGGAGGATGAGTAATGCTGATAAATGAGTGATGCTGCTGATGATGATGACGACGAGGAACATGGTGATTCTGCTGATTGCAACGGCGACAATGATAATGCTGCTGCTGCTGCTGCTGATGATGCTGACGATTATGATGGTAATGCTGCTGCGGACGACGACGAAGACGTAGACGACAGCGACGGCGATTATCACGATGATGGTGATGCTGATGCTGATGTTGATGCTGATGATTATGCTGATGATGATGGGGGGCATGCCGATGAAGCACGCTTCTGTGAAACACGCCTCCATGATGAAGCAGGCCTCCGCGAAGCACAACTATCCTCGAGGCGCGCCTCCGTGAAACACGCCTCCTCGAAGGCGCACCTTTCCGTGGAACGCACCTCTGTGAAGCTCGTTGCCATGAAGCTCGCCTCCTTTAGGCACACCTCCGTGAAGAATGCCTTCGTGAAGCACACTTCGATGACGCCGCCTCTCCGAGCATCTTCGCATCCACGATGAATCACGCGTCCATGATGAAGCCCGCCTCCGTAAAGCGAATTCGATGATGAAGCACGCCGCCGCGACGCACGCCTGGATACTGAAGTACACCTCCCCAAACACTCCTTCCTGAAGCACGCCCCAGTGATGGTTGGTTGGTTGGTTGGTGACCTCCCAGCGAGGTGGCATGTTGGAACTGCGGGCTCAGCCCCTTTAGTGGCGAGCTGCGGGGCCCAACCAGCGACCGATAACAACCCCTCAACGTCAGCCCAGGGATGGATGAGACCACTCTCGGGAAGCAGCCCTGGGAGAGAGGGGAAGGGTACAAGGACTTGCGTGCCACCGTACCCAAACCTCCCTCAGCTCACAGGCTCCCTCCGGGGAGATGCCACGCCCAAGGCCGGAAGGCAAACAGAAGATTGGGGTCTTCCTGGGGAGGGGGCATTAGCGGCCCTCCGGCAGGGATCCTCGCCTGGTGTCGACTCCGTTCTACGCCAACGCACGACGTAGGTACGAGGCTAGCCGGATGGAGGGAGAGAGGAACAGACCCGGAAGGGAGAAGAGGGGGGAGGGAACACGCGCAGCCCGCCCATCCCTCGAGCACTCCCACCCCAGCCACGACCGGCTCCAAGGGTCCACGCCGAGGTCTAGGTCGGCGCCCGACACCCCTCGCCACACTCCGGAAACAGCCGCAACGGCGTCCCCCGCTCAGGGCGCTGGGGAATAGGCGCGGGGAGGGGGGCCCAACGCCGACCCAAGAATTCCACGCAGACCTCCAAGAGGGAACCGACCAGGAGGAAGGGAAGGAGGGAGAGAGGGAGGCAAGGAACGATCCATCCTCCGCTCCATTGGAGCCCACCCCGGACAAGAAGAGGCCCGAAGCGCACACTGGCGGGCCTGGAGGCACTCCCCCGACTTCCTGGGCAGCCAGCCGCGCCCGGCGGCCACCGAGGCGGGCCCAGCGGCGCTCCGGGGCCTCCCGGGCAGTTGTCGCAATGCCACACAGAAGACCGCGTGGTACTTCAAAAACTGCCCGGGGAGCGCCGGCAAGGCCAGGTCGCGCCCGGCGGCCACCGCGACGGCTCCAGCAGCCCCCCCGGGCAGTCTTCTGGTTCGAAACAGGGGCCCGTTTGGCACCGCAAGAAGTGCTCGGGGGCACGACGAGGCGACCGGGGGCGCCCCCCCCCCGATCTGGCGGCGGAGTTCGGGGGTGAAGCCCGGCGGACCGCCCTCGCGGCTCGGCAGGGAAAGGCGACGCGGCAGCGACGACGAAAACGCCGACGACGACGACGACGACAACGACGACAGCGGGAGCGGCGGCGGCTTCAACGACGACGACGACCGCGGCGGCTGCGGTGGCAGGGACAGCCACAGCAACGGCGACGACGACAGCGCAGCAACAACAGCAACGACGACGGCGCCGCAGGCGCCGAAGGCGACGGTACGGACCCACCCCAGCCCATCCCATCTCAGCGAGGACCAGGAGGGAGGGAGGGAGGAAGGGAGAGAGGGGAGGAGGGGGGGAGACCGCACCCAAGCCCGACCCAGACCGCCCCAACCCGCCGCAGCCCAGCAGAGACTGAGCGGGAGGGGGGAGGGGGGATGGAGGGAGGGAAGTCTGCGAAGATATTTCTGCACCTTCGAACAGCAATCATGAAGACTCGATGCACGAACCTATACAAAGTCCCCAAAAACATGTTATAAGAGCGCCTGTGGAGCTCGAGCTTGCAAGTCCACTGCGGAACTCATCAGCTCGATGCACGAAGGGGCAACAGGGAGGAGGGGAAGAGGAATCCGAGCGAGGAGGAGGAGGAGAAGCGAAAGAGGGAGGAAGAGACGTACATCCGGCACGAAACTCATGCAACATCCTCCGTGTATCAAACATCAGGAGAAGACATCGCAAGTGCCTCGCGCATTGCCTCGTCTGGGCACCACGCCAGGCGCACGACACAACTAGGACTGCTGTAGCGCTGGGAGATGCTTGCAAACGGGAGGAAAAGGAGGAGGCGGAGGAACGGAGACAAGCGGAGTAGCGCTGTGGACAGGTTCACTTAATCAAGGCGGCGTCCACGCCGCAGGCGGCAGAGGCGGCAGGGGCTCATCCGTCGGGCCCGCTGGGGGCCCGCCGTTGTTGCACGGCGCCGTCCAAGTGAGCATCTTGGACAGGATGCTCTCGCGCACCGCTGTGGAAGCAGCGGTGTGATTTTTCCGATTTGCGCATCCAGATGTGGACCGCGCCGTGCTTCTTCCCGAGCTGGAACAGAAGTACAATCGGAATTTCCTTGTGGTTCTTGGTGCCCTCCCTTGTCGTCCTTGGGAAGGAACTTGGTGCTTTTGTCCTTGTCCTTGGGCAGGTAGTGCCACTCGGCCCCACGCCTGAGCAGGGGGCTGCTGGCTGGGACCGTCGAGGCCCAGTAGAGGATGGTCTGGTCCGACGGCAGGCTGCCATCCGGCAGCAAGCGTAAGAAACCTGTCGTGCCTCTTCTCCTCCCCCTGGCCGGACTGCTCCCGCCCCTCCGCCGAGCTTCCCTGCTCGTGGAGCCGCCTGCACTCTGGAAGCAAGGGGTCCACGGCGTCCGCGGCTGCCGCCTGAAGCCCACCCTGCCGGGTGCCTTCGCCCTCTCTTCCAGGGCCTGGGGGCGCAGGAGCTCCCGCCAGCGTGTGCCCGGGGCCAAAAGAGTTGGAGACCGCCACCCAAACGGGCCTGCTGGGCGTCTCCGGGCGGGGCCGCCCCGGATGCCGCTGCCGACTGGCAACCCATCCAGGCGGAGGGCTCTGCGCTCCAGCCCGCTGTTTGCGGCACCGGTGCTGCGCCGGGGCGAGGCGCTTCCCACGCCCCTGCATGGTAGCCTTCTTGCGCGGGCCAATGAATAGTCGAAGGCGCCACGGCGGCGCCGCCTCCTACTCCCCGTGGGCCCTGCTTGGCGGCCTCCGGGGCGCCCCACTGAATAGGCTGCAGCACCGCGGCCGCGCCGACACGCCCGGCCTCAGAGTGTCCCTGAGACGGTGTCGCAGCCGGCAGTGGCTTGTCAGCCCCCTGCCCATGGTGCCCGGCGGACGCCTGGTCCACGTCCTGCCAGAGCTTGGGCTGCCCTCGTGCGGGGCCCCCAATGGCTGCTGCTGCTGTCCTCTCCGAGGTTCTTCGCCTCCATGATGAATCACGCGTGCATGATGAAGCTCGCCTCCGTAAAGCACATTCGATGGTGAAGCACTCCGCCGCGAAGCACGCCTGGATACTGAAGTACACCTCCGCGAAGCACGCCTCCGTGAAGGACGCTCAGTGATGTAGCACGCCTCCATGATGATGAAGAACGCCTACGTGGCGCACACCACCATGAAGCGCGCTGCAGGATGAAGTCCGCCTCTGTGGAGCACGTCTCCATGATGAAGACGGCGTCCGCGAAGCTGGCCTCCCCGATGAAGCACGCCTCGTGATGAAGCCTGCCTCCATGAAGACTGCCTCCGTGAAGCGCGCCTCGATGAAGCACGCCGACCTGGGGAAGTTCGCCTCCATGACGCAGCCCGCCTCCATTCTGAAGCACGCATCCGTAAAGCGAGCTTCGATATTGATGCGCGCCTCCGCGAAACATGTTCTGATAATGAAGCACACCTCCTCGAAACACGCTTCCGCGAAGCACGCTTCGGTGATGAAACACACCCCGATGATGAAGACCGCATCCGTGCAACGCACCACCGTGAAGCAGAAGCAGACCTCCGAGAACACCTCCGTGAACACACGACGAAGACTTCCGTGAGTGGAGCATTCCAAAACAAGCATTGGCCCGATCACCGATGTGAAAACTTGCCCGAGCCTCTTGAAGAAGATTTGCACTAGCACTGCTGGCACCCTGGTGAGGATGAAGAATGGTGGACTTCGCGAGCAGCCCGTGAGGGTGAGGTTCCCAACAGCGAAGCATTCCCGTGAAGCTCCCACGGTGAAGCACGCTGCAATGAGTCACCCCACGACGAAGCACTCCACGATTAGGCGCTCAACGACGCACTCCCCGATGAAGCGATACTAGATGAAATGCCCACGAGTGGGCACACCCCGAATAACCACAGCACTAATAACAACACAATGGCACAGAGCGCTGGTGCCAACTTGGAGACTGCGCACCAACAGCCACGAGGTATACCACACCACGCTGCTGGCACAGTGAGGGCGCCAGGCCCAGGCGCGGTCAGTCATTCTTGCTGGAGGGCCGAACCCGGTCGAAAAACAATATTAACACCATTCTGATGTACAAGAGGACCGCGATGAAGGTATGCAGCGCTGCCGCGGCAGAGGTGGTTTCTCCACCCAGTCGCGTATTCCAGTGAGTTCGCGGAAGAGGAAGAGGACGAACGGCACCACATCGCTAGGCCGAGCCCGTGGAGTGCCTGGCGACGGGCCGCCAGTGTACGAGGGACACATGCAGCCCAAGAGGATGTAGAGGGACGCGGCGCGAACGCCTGCACAGCCGTTGGTTGCACAAGAGCCTGACCTGGTGCAGCAAGATGATGAGACGTGGTCGCAGTGGTGTGAATACACATGACCACCCGATGCCGTGGGTCTGGCGAGGAGCCGCAGCAGCGCGTTGCAGGCGCCACGGCTGCCCCATGATCCGACACACCCTGTTGTGTCTGCACCCCTCCGCGCGGGTGTGACGGCCACCCGTGACTAGAGAGCGGCCCCAGCCAGGCAGTCCGGGCTCGAGGAACCATGGGGATGATGATGATGACGACGATGAGGGTGATCATGATCATGATGGTGGTGATGATGTTGATGATACAGCTGCTGCTGTAGATGAAGATGCTATTGTTGCTGATGCTGATGATGGTGATGATGCTGCTGGCGGCTCTGCTGCTGCTTCTGGTGATGCGGATGCTGATTATATTGCTGACTCTGGTGCTGGCGCTGATGCTGATTCCGATTCTGATGATTCTGCTGCTGATGATGGTGATGCTGATAAGGCTGATGGTGGTGATGCTGATGATGGTCATGACGAGATACTGGTGATGATGGTGACGATGACGATGCCGGTGGCGATGATGGGTAGGATGATGATGGCTGACATTGACGTTGACGCAGGCGCTGATGCTGATGCAGATGCTGCTGGTGATGATGAAGATCGTGAGGCTGATGGTGATGATTGTGATGTTCACGGGGTGTTTGTGATGATGGTGGTGACGATGACGATGCTGGTCACGATGATGAGTAGCATGATGATGGCTCGCGTTGACGCTGGCGCTGATGATGTTGATGCTGCGGCTGATGATGGTGCTGCTGCTGATGTTGACGCGGATGGTGGTGATGATTTTGATGATGGCCGGTGACGATGCTGACTAGGATAACGATGGCTGGCGTTGAAGCTTACGCTTGCGCTGATGCTGATGCTGCTGCTCATGATGATGATCATGAGGCTGATGGTAATGATTGTGGAGCTGGTGGTGCTGGAAGAGGACGGGGAGGAGGAAGAGGAGGATGAGGAGGACGAGGAGGAGGAGGATGAGGAGGGGGGGAGGAAGAAGAGGAGGAGGAAGAGGAGAAGGAACAAAAAGGAGGAGGATGAAAAGGAAGAAGAGGAAAAGGAGGGGGAGGAGGAAGAGCAGGAGGAGGGAAGGAGGAGGAGGAGGAGGAGGAGGCGGAGGAGGGGGAGGAGGGGGGGGGAGAGGAGGAGGAGTAGGAGGAGGAGCAGGAACAGGAGGAGGAGGACAAGGACGAGGACGAGGAGCAGGAGGTGGGCAGCAGGGAGGGGGAGGACGGGAGGATTATGAGCAGGGCCGCGCGTCAGGCAGAGAGGAACAGGAGCTAGGAGCAGGGCCGCACGCCAGGCAAGAAGGCCAGGGAGATCCGGCAAGAGGAGCGGGGCAAGTACGCGAAGGAGCACGAGGCCCCTGTGCTCCTTCAGTGAGGAGGAGGAGGACGAGAAGGAGGATCATGACGAGGAGGAGGATTAGGATGAGGATGAGGATGACGATGATGATGCTGATTATGACGATGATGAAGATGCTGCTGATGATGATGCTGCTGTTGATGATGCTGATGATGACCATGATGATGATGCTGATGCTGATGCTCATGATGCTGATGATGATGTTGCTGCTGATGGTGATGCTGATGCTGATGATGTTAATGCTGATGCTGATCATGATGCTGATGGTGATGCTGCTGATGATGCTGATGTTGCTGATACTGATGATGCTGATGATGATGATGCTGATGATAATGCTGCTGATGATGATTGATGATGTTGCGGATGATAAGGATGACGATGTTGCTGCTGCTCATGATGATGAACATGATTACGATTATGACAATGCTGGTGATGTCGATGATGATGATGTTGATGATGGTAATGATTATGATGCTGATGGTGATGCTGACGATGATGATGCTGATGATGATGTTGCTGATGATGATGACGATGGTGATGACGATGATGCTGCTGATGCTGCTGATGCTAATGACGAGGCTGATGATGCTGCTGCTGATGATGCTGATGGTAATGATGATGGTAATGAGGATGATTCTGATGATGCTGCTGATGATGATGATGATGATGATGGTACTAATGATGTAATGATTATGCTGCTGTTGATGCTGCTGCTGCTGCTGATGATGATGATGATGATGATGATCATGGTGAGCTGATATTTTTGATTATGGTGGTGATCATGCCGATGGTGATGATGCTGATGATGCTGCTGCTGATGATGATGATGATGATGATGATGATGGTGGTGATGGTGGTGATGGTGGTGATTATGGTGGTGATGATGATGGTGATGATGATGCTGATGAGCATGATGGTACTCATGATGAGTATTATGACGATTCTGATGATGCTGATGATGATGAGGAGGATGAGGATGAGGAGGAGGAGGAGGAGGAGGAGGAGGAGGAATAAGAGGAGGAGGAGGAATCAGAGGAGGAGGAGGAGGAGGAGGAGGAGGAGGAGGAGAAGGAGCAGGAGAAGGAGGGGGAGGCGGAAGAGGAGGAGGAGGAGGAGGAGGAGGAGGAGGAGGAGGAGGAGGAGGAGGAGAAGTAGGGACCTCCCTGCGCTGGTAATGATAGAGTCCAACATTACCATGCCAAGTGTGTGATCCCTACAGGCCCTCACGAGCATGGGCGCGGCTAGCGCGCCGTTGCCCGGCAAAGCCTCCAACCACAGCGTTTTCGGCACATGGGCGACCGGAGCGAAGTTGTTGTTTCCTGCGGACATGCCGGAAATGTGGGCAGATGGCCGGTCACAAGCCACATACATTGGACATGGCCGTTGTACCATGATTGATCACATATTGTTGTCACACGGTGTTGCATGTACAGATGGCTCGTACGCTGTGGATGATACGTATGACACGGCCAGTGAGCAAGATGACCACTTGCTCGTGTGCGGCCGGATGACATTGCCACCGAATTTGCCCCGTTCCATGAAGCGTTGACGTGTTGCGATGTACGATCGGCACGGCCCCGAGGATCCGAGCAAGGTTGACCACTTCAAACTGTTGTTATCGCACCTCCCACCTGTGCCTTTTCACGTTGACCTAACGTCGCATTGCTTTGTGAGAGAGCAGCACGTCCAAGCGGATGCCGCGGCTGCGTTCCCTAACACCGAAGGTTTTCCAGAAAAACGGCGCGTTGAGCAAAAGCACGTTGGAATTTGTCATGCGTAGAAGGATGCTCCGAAAGAAATTCCGTGCATCAGGGAGGCAGATTCAGACCTTGATCGATTCGTCTCTGTGCCTCTGCGTGCCCGAATCGTGTTCGGCGCTCTTTTCCCTGTTCGCTTCCTCCTGCTCCCCTGGCTTTCTTTCTGCTGTTCCCCCTTCCCCGCCTCCTGCCCCCTCCTCCTGCCCTTCCTCGCTTCCTTTTTCCGCCTCGCCTTTTCCCCTCGCCCCTTTCGCCCCGCCCGGGTCTGGTGAATGACCGAGCGCGCAGGCAGACTTGAGGCGTCGCTTCTGGAATGCCTGCCCGGGCCATTGATGACCTGAGCGGTCGCATCCGGATAGCTTTGGATCGGGGCGCCGCGGGGTTCTCTGAACGGAAGCGGTCTTAGCTCGGAAGAGTGGCTGCGGATGCGTCGTTGCGTCGCATGTACAACGTGTTAAAGCCGCTTTACCTCTCCAGCAGTCAGCTGCCAGCGTGCGGGGCTCTAATGGTGCGCTCACATTGTTTGTGTACGATACGAAGCGCGAGTTCCAACACATTCTGCAGAACTGCTTGTGGGCGAGCGCCGAGATATGTCCGACCTTGTGGACAAAGACAGGGCCGGTAACTTTGATTTTGGTTCCGTTGTGCAAATGGACGCTGTTGATTTCAAGCTTGCTCCGAGTTTGGTCGAGGTTGCTTCCAGTTTTGCACACGTGCGTCTTCTCATATGAATTCCTGAATATTGCAATGGGCTTGAGTTGTTAAAGCGGCGCCGCTTGAGTGCGCAAGGCTGGTCCGCCCGCTCGTGTCCAATCAAGTCTGTCATTGCCGTGCAACCGCCCTTGCAGTGGAAAGGCGGGCACTTGTTGGAATTATACGACGGCGCGGGCGCAATTACGGAGATCCCTTCCTATAGGGGTGTCACTATATGCGAAGCTGCGTCTAAGTCGCTCGCTTCGCATGCGCGGGCCCGCGGGGTGCCTGCTCCTGCGAAGGCCAGCTCGGAGTCGCAATTCGGTGGAGGTCTTGAACGGTGGTTCCACGGAGCTTGCACATCTTTACGTGGTTGCATGCATAGATTATGCCCGAGCAAAGAAGCTATCTTTTGGAACCTTGTTCGTTGACGTGGCCTCTGCTCGCTCGCTCGCCTTCCCAGCGCCCCCGGCCTGCATGGACGCCTTCGTTGCTCGCCTTTGGGAGTTATGATACAGTGCCGAGGGCGCGGTTGCAATTGCTGAAGGCCTGCTTGCCTACGAGCATTGGACAGGCAGCGGAGGTGCGAAACATTACCTTGCAATATTGAGCAATCTTCACAGGTAGTCGTGGTTCCCCTTCGAATGGGTGGCGGGTTGCGTGGAGACTACTTCGGGTTCCCTTGCTGGTCGTTGGGGGACTTCGGTTTTTTGTTTGTTTTCAGTTGCGTGGTGCACGCCGTTGAAAATCGTCTCGCTGCCGCTGGGCTGTTGCGCGAATTCACAAATGAAACGGTCGTCGTGGGGTTCGGGGCAGAGCCCACAACCGGGTCTCAGGACGATGCGGTGCGCGTCGGCCTTGTTGGGTACATGGATGACGTTGTGCAGCCCCTCGTGGCCCCAGCTCCCGATATTGTTGAACAGGTGACAGCGTGCGCCAGCATATTTGCAGGCGTTTTCTCCAGCCGCGGTTCGGTCATCAATCTCAGCTGGGGGAACCCATGCGTGTTGTTTCGGCTTGATGGCGCCAGGTCAGCGGACGCCTAAAAACGCTTGTTTGTTGATGACAATGTTCTGATACGCTTCGATGCCCAAGGTGTTCAGAAACATCTCGTTGCCGCGTCGCCATGCAAGCACGTCGGCACTGGCATGTGTTCGACTGATTCGACGCACCCTAAAATTACTGAAAGTTGGGGCCATGCAGGAGCTGTTCAGGCAACTGCGTCACAGCGTGCTTCAGTTCAGGAGCGTTCCTGTTGAGACCCGGCTTGCGTTGTGCCAGGTCGTTGTTTTCACGCGGGGTTTGCGCCAATCTAGCACGTGGCCACAGCTATACTCAGCTGAGTTGTTAAGAGTGCGCAGTGCGCACTCTTAAGAACTCACTAGATGCCAAGGGACGCGTCCAGCGGGCGCAGCCTGGAGTCAACTCGCGGCCCCAACTCGCCCGGATAACATTGGTACAATCTAAGCTGCGCGCAACACAACAGCAAGTGCAACGCAAACAGCGGACGACCCCAGACTACCGCCCCGCCCAAGGGTGCGGTGCGATGGCGGAAAGACATGAAGAAACAAATTTAGGTTTACCGTTTTTTTCTCCTTACGCACAGCTGTGATGCAAGTCTCTTCGTCCGTGCTTTGGGAAGATGATGATGTGCGCCAGGGCCGTCGCACGAGGCCACTGCGCAGTGTGAGGGTTTCCATGGCCCCCGCGATGCTGATTCTCTACATGGGCTTATTATTGTCTACGCGTGTGTGATTGCGCGCGCCGCGTACATCGTGCGTCACCCTTTCGCATGCCAGTGGTGTGCGCAGATCGTGGATGCAGGCAGTGTCGGAGAATTTGGCGTCTCTGGTCTCACGTGTGGAAGCGTTGGCCGAGTGCGGGCCGCAGCCAATCGATCGGTGGATCGCCGAGATCCGCGCGCAACCTAAACGGTCCAGAGCCTGTTTGAGAATTGCGAAGATCGAGCGCGAGGTGAATCGCCCGCATTCGTGGGGGAAAGCCCGCCGCATGGCTGAGATCAATCACGTCTTCGCTTGCCAGGAGTGCTCCTACACGTGAACCTCCCGGCAACAGCTGGCAACCCATGCTTTCAACGTGCATGGTGTCTGGCGCCACGCGCGTGAGCTCATTGATGTGGGGCATTGTCCCGTGTGTATGCGTGGTTTTCACAGTCATGCGAGAGACATTGCTCATCTTGAAAAGCGTTCGGAGAGGTGTTGCGCTGTCGTGCTGGAGGGTTTACTACCACGACTGCCAGATACCGCCGTGGCGGGCCGCGACCGGCAGGACGCGGGGGCCGCAGGAGGCCGTGCAAGGACGGTCCAGAGACCGTGCCATGCGGACGCCCCTGCCTGTCGCACGGTTGGGCTTTTGACCAGGGAGGCATACGAATCGGGCTTGAGCCACAGGTCCCCCTTCCACTATTCCTCCTTCGAGTGAAGCAAGGTCGAGGCGCCTCCAGAGGCGTGGCGCTTCCACTTCTGTGCTGCACCACACATGCCCCTTTTTCCGGTGATTCCTCCACAGAGGGGAGCGTTTCAAGCTGCGCTGAACGAACAAAAGAGGAGGAGGAAAGGAGGAGGAGGAGGAGGAGGAGGAAAAAGAGGTGGAGGAGGAAGAGGAGGAGGAAGAGCAGGAGGAAGAGGAGGATGAGGAGGTTCAGGGGGAGGATGGGCAGGAGGGGGATTAATAGGGGGCAACACAGAGGAGGGAGTAAGTAGAAGATGATGAGTATGGGGTGGAGGAGTTGACGGAGGACGCATGAGGAGGATGCAGAGGAGGAGTAGCAGGAGCAGGAACAGAAACAACAGCAGGAGCAGGCACAGGAAGAAAAAAGAGGGTAATGAGAAGGGGGAGTGAGGCTGACCGTTCTTACTGTCATTCTGCCTAACGGATCGGCCATTGATCCTTCCAAGAAAAACAATGGCCGATCTGTTCTCCATGCGCTTTTCGCTCCAGTCCGCCTTTTCCATTCTTCCTCACTCCGAGTACAATCTCTGCTAGTCGCACCGGCTGGACATGACTTCTACGTCAGGTCGTATCCAGTACTCTTGAACTGACACCTTTGCCCCATTGCCCACGGCTCCTTCTCCCTGCGCCAATGTGGCCGTTCCTCCTTTGCCCTGCCTCCTCTTCCCAGCTCCGCGCTCATGGTTCGTTGCTTCTCTCCTCTCTACCCTCACTCGCGCCCCAGTAGCCCGCCATCCGCCGCCCTGTCCCGCTGCGGGTCCCCCCCCCTGGCCCCCCCTGGGTGGGCTCAACAGCCGACGCGTCGAAACGAAATGGGCGTCGGCCGATGTTTTCGCAGATCTTTGCCGTCTTCGGGCCGCTGCGGCCGGCGTGTCGGGGAAACGGGCCAGTTTCTGCCAGATCTGGTGCCCTGGAGGGGCCCCTAAGCCCGAGTGCCCCCCCGTTCGCACCTCCGAACATTGCTAACGCCGAGCATGTTTTCTCGCGCGCAGGTCCAGATCTAGTGCGGAAGGGGTCAGGGGGTTCGTTTGGTGTTCCCTCGGGGCCCAAGCAGAGTGCCTCGATGCAGATTCGGCTTTGGACCGGGCTTCGTTCTTGCATGCACGGCTAATCTCCCGAGCGGTAGGCACAGCAAACAAGACACGGACCTGCCAGCCGAGGCACAGCAGAATCTTCTCATCCCCCGGTGGCCCGCCCCGGGGGCCCCCAGGACACACGGGGCACCCTCAGGACACCGAGAGGCCGGCAGCACGTGTGCCCCTGGATCTCTTACAGGAGGAGGAGGAGGAGGAGGAGGAGGAGGAGGAGGAGGAGGAGGAGGAGGAGGAGGAGGAGGAGGAGGAGGAGGAGGAGGAGGGGGAGGGGGAGGGAGGAGGAGGAGCCCCGCCGTCCGCGACCCGTGGAGTGGATCCCGCCGCCGCGCGCCGGCGGAGGACTACGCCGCCTCGATCGTGGCTCTGGAGCGGGCCATCCAGGCGCCGTAGCGTCGCTGCCTCGGCTGCTGCCGCCCGGCGCTCCTTCAGCCGCTGTGGCCCCTGTCCTGCCCTGCGCCTCGTCCTCAGCTTTTCCCAGCCATCCTGTGGTGCTGGGTCCTCGTTTTGAAGAGGCAGCGCCCCGCGTTGCCGCTCCTCCTCCTCCCCCTCCTCCCTCCTCCTCATCCCTCCCTCCCCCTTCCTCCAATCCCTCTTCCCGCTCCTCCCTCCATCCCTCCAATCCCTCCAATCCCTCCCTCCTCCCTCCTCCCTGTCCCCTCCCCCTCCTCCCTCCTCCAAGCCCTGCCTCTGCTTTCTCGCATGCGTCTTTCGTCGCACGCCTCACGCGCTTCGTGGCCCCATCCGGGAGCACGACCGACGGCCCCAGCGGCAGGGTCCGCACGCAGTTCCATTCACGTTTCGTGGCCCCATAGGGTGCTCCACCCAAGGCCCCAGTGGCAGGGTCCGCATGCAGTTCGACCCCCATTTCGAGGCACCCCTCGCACGTTTCGTGGCCCCATAGGGTGCTCCACCCAAGGCCCCAGTGGCAGGGTCCGCGTGCAGTTCCCCAGTGGCAGGGTCCGCGTGCAGTTCCACCTCTATTTCGGTGCACACTTCGCACGTTCCGTGGCCCCATAGGGTGTTTCGCCGAAGGCCCCAGAGGCAGCGCCCGCAAGCAGTTCCACATCCATTTCGGCGCACCCGTTACACGTTTCGTGGTCGCATAAGGTGTTCCACCCAGGGCACTAGTGGTAGGGTCTGCATGCAGTTCCACACCCGTTTCGGCGCACCTTTCATACGTTTTGAAGCCATAGTCTGGTCCACCGAAGGCCCCAATGGCAGGGCCCGCATGCCGTTCCACCTCCACTTCGGCGCACTCCTCTCACTTTTCGTGGTCCCATAAGGCGCAGGCGAGCCCTGGGGGCGCGCGGGGGCGAGCCGCGAATCCGACCCGGAGGGTGAGGGGGAGGATGGGGGCGCGCTAGACCAGCGAAGCTGCGTGCGACCAAAAAGACCCAATCGCTCAGAAGGGCGGCGGAAGCTTGGCGCGGGCGCGAGCCGCGTGGGCGGCGTTCTACGTGTGCGGGGGCGCATGGCGACATGTTTTCGTTTTCAGCCCCGTCCATGTGCGCGTGTGCGCGCTGGGCCCTATCCCTAGTGCGCGTTGTGTCCTAGTGCGCGCTGTGCGCTGGTCCAGTCCCCAAGTGCGCGTTAGGCCATCGCTTTGCAGACGCGCCCAGTCCTAGCGCGTTTTGGGCCCTCGCTCTCAGCCCAGCCCTCGCAGACCGCTACGACGCGGCGCTCGGCGCAGTTTACAGCGGTTGTCGAGAGGGCAGCTGGCGTCGCGGAGGCGACGTGGCGGCGTGCGCAGATCGGAGTGGCATATGTTTTTGAGTTGCTTCCGTTGGCCCCTGCGCGGGGGCGCGCGGGGCCTCTGGGCCTCTTTCGGCTCTAGGAAGACGGGGCGCGGCCTCGGGGCCGCGCGGGCTAGGGGCTCGCGGCTTGCTGCGGGGTCCATGGCTGCCTTGAGAGATAAAGGAGCCCGTGGCTATCATCGTCATCCTCATCATTCGTGCTGTCTCCTTCTCATCCTCGCCTTCTTTGCCTTCTTATCCCGTGTCCCACTTGCCTCCGTCTTCTCTTGGCCCCCCCCCCCCGTCGCGCCCCCCGGACCTCCGTTTCAAGTGCGTTTTACGCGGGGGGGCGGAGCGAGGCGAAGGGGGTGAAGGGAGGGGGGGGGGGCGCGGCGCGCGGCTGGGGTGGGGCGGGGGGGGGGGGGGGGCAAAGGGGGAAGGGGGGTATGTCGAGGAGGGCGAGGGGCACGAGATGCGGGGGCTGATTAAAGCGGGGGGCGGGGCGGGCGTCCAGTTCCCACCGCCCTCGCCTGTCTTCCGTTCCTGCCGCCGCCCAACTTCATGTCCCCGTGAATCCCAGCGCCCCTTCTTCCCCCCCCCAGCCAGTCGCGCAGTGCGAGCGTTTTGATTGCGGCGCGTCGGGCCGCGGTCCAGCGGCAAAAACAAACATTACGCTACCGAGGAACCCCACATACCTTTATTATGGATGAAGTGATGAGACCTGAAATGAAGCATGTGAGAATGATGTTGGTGGCCGCTGCCCCGCCGATACCGCTGTGCCCTGGACGACCGTCACGGATAGCGGCCGCGGTGAGAGACCACCCCCTGCGCACCCCCCGAGACCATGCCCCCCTGGACGACCGTCACGGATAGCCCCCGTATGGTGTCGAGAATATGCCATGCCTGCTGTGCCCTGGACGACCGTCACGGATAGCGGCCGCGGTGAGAGACCACCCCCTGCGCACCCCCTATGGTGTCGAGAATATGCCATGCCTGCTGTGCCCTGGACGACCGTCACGGATAGCGGCCGCGGTGAGAGACCACCCCCTGCGCACCCCCTATGGTGTCGAGAATATGCCATGCCTGCTGTGCCCTGGACGACCGTCACGGATAGCGGCCGCGGTAAGAGACCACCCCTTGCGCACCCCCTATGGTGTCGAGAATATGCCATGCCTGCTGTGCCCTGGACGATCACGGATCGGTCAGCGCATAGCGGCCATGCCTGCTGTGCCCTGGAGACCACCCCCTGCGCACCCCCTATGGTGTCGAGAATATGCCATGCCTGCTGTGCCCTGGACGACCGTCACGGATAGCGGCCGCGGTGAGAGACCACCCCCTGCGCACCCCCTATGGTGTCGAGAATATGCCATGCCTGCTGTGCCCTGGACGACCGTCACGGATAGCGGCCGCGGTGAGAGACCACCCCCTGCGCACCCCCTATGGTGTCGAGAATATGCCATGCCTGCTGTGCCCTGGACGACCGTCACGGATAGCGGCCGCGGTGAGAGACCACCCCCTGCGCACCCCCTATGGTGTCGAGAATATGCCATGCCTGCTGTGCCCTGGACGACCGTCACGGATAGCGGCCGCGGTGAGAGACCACCCCCTGCGCACCCCCTATGGTGTCGAGAATATGCCATGCCTGCTGTGCCCTGGACGACCGTCACGGACGCGTGCGCGGATAAGCGGTCACGGATAGCGGCCGCGGTGAGACCACCCCCTGCGCACCCCCTATGGTGTCGAGAATATGCCATGCCTGCTGTGCCCTGGACGACCGTCACGGATAGCGGCCGCGGTGAGAGACCACCCCCTGCGCACCCCCTATGGTGTCGAGAATATGCCATGCCTGCTGTGCCCTGGACGACCGTCACGGATAGCGGCCGCGGTGAGAGACCCCCCTGCGCACCCCCTATGGTGTCGAGAATATGCCATGCCTGCTGTGCCCTGGACGACCGTCACGGATAGCGGCCGCGGTGAGAGACCACCCCTTGCGCACCCCCTATGGTGTCGAGAATATGCCATGCCTGCTGTGCCCTGGACGACCGTCACGGATAGCGGCCGCGGTGAGAGACCACCCCCTGCGCACCCCCTATGGTGTCGAGAATATGCCATGCCTGCTGTGCCCTGGACGACCGTCACGGATAGCGGCCGCGGTGAGAGACCACCCCCGGATGCGCACCCCCTATGGTGTCGAGAATATGCCATGCCTGCTGTGCCCTGGACGACCGTCACGGATAGCGGCCGCGGTGAGAGACCCCCCCCTGCGCACCCCCTATGGTGTCGAGAATATGCCATGCCTGCTGTGCCCTGGACGACCGTCACGGACAGCGGCCGCGGTGAGAGACCACCCCCTGCGCACCCGCTGCGGCGCCCAGGATATGCCACGCCTGCCACGCCCTGGGAGCCTACAGCGCATAGGGCCCCCACCCCCAGCGCACCCCCTGTGGCGTTGTGCTGCGCTGTGCTGTGCTGCTGTGCGGTGAGCTGTGCTGTGCCGTGCTGTGCTGTGCTGTGCTGTGCTGAGTTGAGCTGAGCTGCGAGAAGGAGAAGGGGAGGGGGGAAGTGAGTAGACGCGGGTGCGCCGCGGCAGGGAAGAAAACCAGAACCCCACGAAACATGTGGGGAATAACATAGATTGTGCGCGATCTCGCGAAAATCTACATCGGCACCCGCGGCGCGCGCGGCGCGCGCGGGCGGGTTTCTCTGGGGCGCGGCGCGCGAGGGCGCCTTTTGATTCTGAGGAAACTGTTCGGACTTATTTTGCAGAGATCCTTGAATCTACGGGTCCTTGCTGGAAGTTGATGTCTTAATTCTAATCACAACCAGCGTCGCTACTATCGCCACGGTGTCCCCCATAGTCGTCGCCGCCAGGGTGCGCGCCCGCCCGAGCCGCCGACTCGCGCTGGAGCGCCCGCGCGTCAGCGCGCCCTGCGAAACGCGTTGGGAAGTCCCCGGAGGCCAGGGCCGCGTCGGTCGCGCAAGATTAGCTGGCCGCTCTGCGCGCGAGCCAGCGGGCGCAAGCGCTGTCGCGGCGATGCGCCAGCTGGCGCTAAGCGGTCACCGCGTTTGCCGTCGCGTGGGTTTAGCAAACCATAATGCGGGTGGGTAGGTGGAATGGTTGCGCGAGCAGTAGAGTTGTCAAGGCGCTGCAGACGAGCAAGTAATTGCACCGCAAACATTGCGCCGCGCACACTGCACCGCGTTGATTGCACCTCGCGCGCTGCGCGACGTTGGTTCCACAAAACAGATTGTAGTGCATGGGGGCGCGCAGCGTATATTGCGCCAGCCGGCTTGCGCCACATTGGTTGCGCCGCGTAGATTGCCCCACATGATGTGCACAGCGTATATGGCGCCACGCAGATTGCGCAACATCTATTGAACTACGTAGATTGCACCACACATGTCGCAGCGCACAGATGGCATTACATCGACTGCGCCACAGGTATAGCACCGCATATGTCATTCTCTCTAACAGAGTATGGATCCCCCCTTGGTTCGACCGCCCACTTTTCGTATTGTAATTCATTTGATTTCGCATCTTCGTCCGTTCTAAATATACACGTATACCATCCCAGCCAGGCCCGTGACGGCCCCCGCCCTCGCCCTCTGCAAAAAAACGGTATGCCCGCGCACTCGTTTATCACAAACCAGAAGTTTTCAAAAATCCCTTGCAAAAGCTGGACGAAGTAGACGCGCGCGTCGTCGCGCGCACATGCCGGAAACCTCCCAAAACCTAAGGTTTCGTAAGGATTTCAGAATCGAGTGTACCGAACACATATAAAACACATGGTTTCTCAACAATTCACAAATCAAGAAGGTCATTAGTTTTTTCCGCATTTTCATTCCACTCTACCAGGTTCGGCCTTTCGTGCGCGCGTGTCGAAATCGTTCGAACGCCCTTGCGCGCGAGCTGTCGCAATAATCTTTCGCAAACGACGTGACGCAGTGCACGCGCGCGCGTCTTCGCGCGCGCATGCAGGATTTCTAACAGGACTGCAAGGACTGCAAAGCCGAGGTTCCGACAACATATGACAAACATATGGTTTGGGTTTGGCAGCATCACGTTCAAAAGAATATGCGCTCGTGCTCTTGCGCATTTTCAAGACAACATTCGGCTTTGCAGCATTTTCATCGGTTTCGGCCAGACAGGCTTTTCGCGCCGCGTGTCGACGTCATTCGGACGCCCTTGCACGCGTGCTGGAGGGCACGTTCCGTGTCACATAATACTATACGGGCCACTCGCGCGTCGGCCGCGCGCGCATGTCGAACTCCTTTCCATAACCTTCGTCGCCGACGCCAGGATGCCGTCGTCGTCGGCGTGATCAGCGTCGGCGCCGTCACTGACCGTGCCGTCGTCATTGCCATCATCGTCGCCAGCGTCGCTACTGTCATCATCGTGCCTACCCCAGTCGACGTTGCCATGACACCGCGCCCGCCCAAGTGGCCGACTTGCACCGAAGTGCCTACTTGGAAGTGCCCAGAGGTCAGCGCCACCGCGGCCGCGTCGGTCGCGCCAAACTAGTTGGCCGGTGCGCGCGCACGAACACGCGCGGGCTGGGGCGGCCGTCCACATTCACCAGCCACCCCCGCACACTCATCGCACTCGCCGCTGCATGCGTTTTGCAAAACAAGTTGCGGGTGGGTGGGTGGGATGAGTGCGCGAAATTGACAACTGCGAGTTCCACAAATGGGCTGCTCTGTATAGATTGCGCCACGCAGATGTTTAGGAATACGCTGTTAGGAGGACTTACGCAAGCGACCACCTGTTTAAACATTCGGACGAAGGATCGAGGCTTCGGGAACGCAGGTCCAGTTGTCCAGTTGTTTTTGGGACCGTGGTTTCGGGAACCTTGTGTAAGGTTTTGTGCGCTCGGGAAAGGGGTGGAGGCACTGCACGCGGAACTCTGCTGCGAGGGCCCCTCTTGGAATATGGCACCATTTCTTCATTTTGCATTCTACCACGCTTTAACATGCCTGGGGCATGGTGGCGGATCACCAGAGGTTTACCATTGTGCAACAGCTTCACAAATGAGGGTGGCCCCTTTTTGAATCGGGCCTCCGTGACTCTGTTGCGCCCGTTTCTTTTGACGCGCGACAGCCAGCCTTGAATCTTGTTGTTGTTTTCAGAAGTGTTGTCCTCCAGTAGCTGCTCTCCCCTTTTCTTCCCTTCCTTCCACTCCGTTTGCCAACCCATTCCGTTTATTTTTTTGGTCAGGGAAAACATACTTGTATACACAGCCACCTGGCCTTCACGGGCCGATTCTGGGTCAAGTCATGTTTTTTTCCATCCAGTGGCCAGGCAGCGAGACCATCGTTACCAGGATTTGGCTCGGGGTGGGTGGGCCTGTAAAAGCTTGGTGGTGGTGGTGGTGGTGGTGGTGTGTGCTTTCCCTGTCCCTACCCCATCTTTCCTCCGTTCCCCCCTCCCTCTCCCCCAATCCTCCTCTCCCCCCCCAGAGGTGCTGAAGAGCCGGACGGACCCCGTCAGAGGGGAAGCGCTGGTGCGCCGCAGACGCCCCTCCCCCACCCGCCACACCCACGCCCCCTTCGACGAAGACGACGGCAAGGAGGACGGCGAGGAGGACGGCGAGGAGGACGGCAAGGAGGACGGTGAGGACGACGAGGACGGCGACGACGACGACGACGGCGGTGGCGACGACGGCGAGCCTCACTGCAGAGGGCGGCCTCGCGGTCGGTGCTTGCCTGGCGCGAGCCCGATTCGTCCTCCCCGCGCTCGAGTGCACTGCTCCAGTGCAGCCGTATGGGGGGCATCTGGGGTGCGCTCCTCCCCGCGCTCCCATCTGGCCGAGGTTGTGAGGCTGCCTGCCTGCATTGCAGTTCTCATTCCCCCAAGCACGTAGCTTTTTGGAATGAGGGTTCGGGCGCAGCTGGGATTGAAAGGCGGCGTCCGGAGGAGGAGAGCAGAGGAAGGGGGAGGACGAGGAGGACCAGAACCCGAGATGCATCAGCGATGCAGCAAAACACCCTCCCGTCCCGAGACCCTTCTCAAACGCCCCTACAAGTGTTACATTTGAATGCAAGAAGCTCCTCTCTTTGAAAGACCAGCACCAGTTGGGCCTGCCAGTTTGGCGAGGGCCCCGTTTTGGGAAGGAGCTGCTTTAACTCTTTTGGGCGCCTGATGCATGAGCACGAGGAGCTATGACCGTACAGTTCCACGAGGTGCCCAGCGAGATCCCCTCTTGAACGATGGACATCACCCCCTATCTGTGTAAGCTGTGCGCAAGTTTGCAGCTGTGGTCATAAACTTCGAGGAAGTGCTTCGTCAGTGCAGTGCTGCACGTGTCGAAATTTTGCCTGGTTCCTGTCAGCTTTCCTTCCAAGTGTGCGACATGTGTGCGCGGCGCTGGGGCGAGGACCCCAGTTTGACAACAAATTGTGCTCATAAGCTTTGTAGCTGTTACCTTCATTTGGAATACATGTGCATGGCGCCACGGCGACGGCCCGACTTTGAACAAGTCCCCTTCGAATGAGCCCTCCCTCCAAGCTCCCTCTTCACAGGATCCTGGAAGGATTCACTTCACTGTGGGAAGTGCCCCGTCGAGAGAACTGTTTGAAGACCCTGAAGCATGCCAGAACACGATTTTCGGGACTCCAGCGCCACGAATCAACCTGACTGTTGCGTGTTGACGATCCTGAGTCGTGCCAGAACTTTATTCCTAGGACGTCAACACTGCGAATCAACCGCCTATTGCGCCCTGGCAATACTGAGTCGTTCCAAAACGCCATTTCTGGTACGTTCGCCATGGGAATCGGTGAACTTCCTGCACATGTTGAAGACGAATGTGCGCGGTGCTGAGGCGACAGCCACATTTGGGAAGTGGCCCGCCCTCCATCTGTGAAACTGCTACCAACTTGTTAGCTTCAGGAGCATCAGTGGTACGGGAAACTCAGGCGACCCCCCAGGGCCGCCCTTCCGACTGGCCTCGGGGTGCGACAGGAAGAGTTAATTGTAAGGAATCGGAATCGAGGAATGATAGCAGTAATCTTAAGAAGAGGAAGGGCAGGAGCAGGAGGACATGTACGATGGGGGCGTTGGTTAAGGCATGCGCCCAGGAGGCCGCAGACCCTGGAGGATTCCTTATCGGATGAGGGCGGCGGTGATATCCATGGCCAAGCTTCGATTGGACTTCCACCGGCCTCCAGACCCTGGATTCCTTATCTAAGGGTTCCTTATCCAATAAGTCCTCTAAGCTGCCTAATAAAAAATGCAAGTCCTTAGCCAATGCCCCCACCGTAGCTCGAGAAGGGGGAAGCGCAGCGGTCATCGAGCGCGTGGCCCCCGCAGCTTCGAGCGGATCCAATCCAGCCTCTCGTGATCCCCTGGGCTTCGGCTCTCGTTCTGGTCGAGCCTCGCGAGGCCGTGGCTGCTCGGGGCGGACGCAGAGGGGGGATAGGGAAGGAGGGGGGTACGACATCTGCTACGTGCAGCTTGTCTCGGCCCCGCCGCCAGGCATGTTGATGCATTGGCGCCTCCTGGCGCCGCGAGCTGATTCCAGGAAGGTGCGTTGGGGGAGAAGGAGCAGGAGGGGGAGGATGAGGAGGAGAAGGAGGAAGAGGAGGAGGAGGATGAGGAGGAAGAGAAGGAGGAGGGGGAACGGGGGGAAGAGGAAGAGGGGTACGGGAAAACAAGGAGGACGCAGGAGGAGGAGGAGGAGGACAAATAAGAGGAGGAGGAGGACACGGAGGAGGAGACGGAGGAAGGCAAGGCTGTCGAGGGCCTCGCTTCGGGCGCCCACGCGGCCGTGGCGAGCCTTCCTTCTCGACCCCGCCCTCTCCCCCTTTTCCTCCACGGCTGCCCCCCGCGACGGCGCCGCGGGCACGCACTTCGCGCGCGTCGCCGGCCGCGGTTGACCGTCGCACGCGCGCGCGCGCGCGAGGTGCAGGAGTTCGCGGCCTCCGTGCCGAGGGTGGCCCGAGCGCTCAGGCACCGTGGACAAGAAGGGCCTCCTTCCCCCCCTGCGGAGCCTCCCCTCTTTTTTTGTTGTTTCTCTCTCTCTCTCTTTCTCTGGTTTCGTTGTTGTTGTTTGTCTCTCTCTCTCTCGTTCTTTATTGCTCTCTCTTTTTCTATATACATACATATACATTTACACATATATATATATATATGCATTTTTTAAATACATATATGTGCATATATATATACACATTACCTCTCTCTCTTGTTTCTCTCCCTCTCTCTCTCTCTTCTCTCGCTCTCTTCCTCTCTTCTTTTTCCTCCATGTATCTCTCTCTCTCTCTGTCTTTATCTCTTCTCTCTTCTCTCATGTCTTTTCTCCCTTCTCTTTCTCTCTCTCTCTTCTCTCCCTTTCTCTCTCCCCTCTATTTGTATGTTTTTTTGTTTACTCTCTCTCTCTCTCTCCCTCCTGGACTATTGCTGTCACCGTCTCCCCCCTTCCCTCTCCATATTGATATCCTTCGGCTTCCGTCCATCAGCCATCCCATGCCTTCATCCTCAACTCTCGCGCTGTAGTCTTCTGTCGCTTTCTGGCTTGTGCGTGTCCTTGTCCCTCCGCCCCCCTTCTGCCTTCGGTGTTGCTTCCTTCAGCTATTTACGGAGCTCCTGCCTGACTTTACTCCAGAGTGTCCTACTCTGCCAGGGCGGCAATTAGAACCCGTTCTGATTGGCTTCGAGGTTGGACGTATTAAGGAGGAGGAGGAGGAGGAGGAGGCGGAGGAGAAGGAGGAGGAGGAGGAGGAGGAGGAGGAGGAGGAGGAGGAGGAGGGGGAGGGGGAGGGGGAGGAGGAGGCGGAGGAGGAGGAGGAGGACACTTCCACCATGCTGGCAATCTACGGCTTCTCCTACCAAGGCGGGGGAGCTTCTTCTCTCCGCGAGCGAACCTCTCCAGCCGGGCATGCCACTCCTGCGCAGGTGGCCTGCGGGAGAGAGGGGCCCCCATGTCCGTGCTGGCTCCGCCCTCTTCGACCCTGGCAGCAGTGGGTCGACCTATTCGACGATTCCCCCGTTTGCATTCGCGGGCAGTGTCTGTGCAGCGGCTGGCGTTGCGAAGTTGTTGGTGTCGTTCCAGCTTTGCGTGTTGGCACAGGCTTCCTCTAGGCAGCAGACCTGATGGTCTTGTCAAAGGGTTGCTGTTCATGCAGCGGACGTGGTAGGCATACGCGCTCAAGCACGCTAGATTTTGTCTGCCTGGCGGCAACCTCAACAATTCTAGACGTTTCGCGCAGCAAAGAAGTGGGCGGCCGAACCGTGCGAAGGAGGGAGGAGGAGAAGGAGGAGGCTGGATGGATGGATGAGGAAGTGGGGAGAAGGAATAGTAATATGATGATGAGGAGAAGGAGGAGGAGGAGGAGGAGGAGGAGGAGGAGGAGGGGGAGGAGGAGGAGGAGGAGGAGGAGGAGGAGGAGGCGGAGGAGGAGGAGGAGGGAGGAGCAGGATAAGGGAGGAGCAGGAGGAGGAGGCCATCAAAAGGGCCAGAAGTTTCTCGGATGCCTTTCGGAGCCTCTTGGGATATCTCTTGGGCGCTTATTGGAAGCCTCTTGGGACGTCTTGGGAGTCTCTTGGCAGTCCGGAGGGGCTTAGGGGCGTCTTGGGTGCCTCGGGGAGGCCTCTTGGGGCCGCATGGGGTCATATTTAGGGGCCTCCTGGGGGCCTAGGGGCCATCTTGGAGCCATCTTGGTGATCGGTTGGTTGGAGATTTGAATATTTAAGACGTCGCGCTCCAGCTGCTGTTTCCGAAACGACCAGTCTTTTGTTCATACGGGCGCGGAACGGACGGCCAGTAGTGTTCGCAGACTTGGTGTGCTAGATGAGCAGATGGTTCGAACGACCACGAAATTGTAGGCAATGCGCATGACAAACCACCAATATACCAAGTGAAGTGCTATTGCCTTTGCCGCCTTGCTCGAAACATTGCACCGCTGAAGCTGCCAGTCCTGCCACGTTCGAAGTACACGGGGCAAGACTTTTTGCTAGATGTTGCGCCTCGCCCTGTATGACGTTGCAGATTAGGGGCTGGCAGCATCTCCACCATTTTTGGCTCTTGAAACATCTCCGTTCCAGTGGCATCAATGAGTGGCTTTCTTTCTCGCAGCGGCTACAGATGCTGCGAGGGATCTGGGTGACTCATTCAGTAGCGGCTGAGTTCTGCTTGCTTGGATCACCTCGGGTAGTCAGCAATCGATGTGTTGTTGTTGTGGTTGTTGAATTGCCATTCCTAGAGAAAAAATGTAGTTGATCCTCCCTCCGGTAACATATGCATTTTTACAATTGAAGTGCCCTTCCCGGGGCTCGCATCCTGTTTTTCATAAGGGATTGTTCTCCCAAAACTGCGTTGTTGGCCCCCGAAGTACAACAACAACGGCTCCCGCCTGATACTTCCTCACAGTTCATTTAGTCGCTTCGCTCACTCCGCCGGCCCATATTGCCTCGCCGCTGTCGTTTGTCGGGGTGTTGTTGTCAATGCGGTGCGGTTGGGCGGCTGCCATTTTTCGGATGCGGTGGGTGGCGGGTCAGAGGCCTCACGGATGTTGGTTGGGCTCTCGTGGTTGGCCTCTCAGAGGCCTGTGGGAGGCAGTTTTTGAAGCCTCTTCTGGGCCTCTTGGGGCCTCTTGGGGCCTCTTGGGGGCCTCTCCAGGCTTCTTGGGTTGCCTCTTGGGGGCCCCTTGGGACCTCTTGGGGGCCTCTTGGGGCCTCCTGGGGGCCTCTTGGGGCTGAATGCTGGATTTTTCGCTTCCTAATCCCCTTCTGGACCCTTCTGGGGGCCGTTTTGGGGCTCTCTTGGGCCGTCTTGAGCGCACCTTAGGCAGTCTTGCGGCCACCTTGGGCCGTCTTGGGGCCCTCTTGGAGGCTTCGTGGGCTGTCTTGGGGTGTTCCTCTTGGGGGTCTTTTGGGGCCTCTAGTGGTCCTCTAGTGGTCCTCTTGGGGGTCTCTAGTGGTCCTCTTGGGGGTCTTTTGGGGCCTCTCGGGGGCCTCTTGGGAGCTTCTTGGGTTTTTTTGAGGCCTCCAGGGAACCTCTCTGCGCCTCGAGCTCGGGAGGTCTGTTAGGGTCCCTCGTCTGGGCCCGCTCTTGGGGCCGTCTTTGGAGCTTCTTCGGCCATCTTGGAAGCCTCTGGAGCTGTCCAGGGGCCCTCCGGGGCCGTTGGGGGCGCTCTTGGATGCCTCTTGGGTCGTGCGGGGGCGATCCTGGAAGCCTCTTGGGCCGTCTTGGAGCGCCGGGAAGCTCCCACGGCGAGAACGCCAAAAACCTTCAACAACTAAAGGGAAACTATTCATTTCTGGCTCAGTGGACCCTCTGGGGAGGTCTCTTGGGGCCTCTCGGGGGCCTCTTGGGGGCTTCTTAGGGGCCTCTGCGGGCTTCCAGGGCACCTTTCGGTGGCTAGAGCTCAACATGTCCGTTCGGGTCCCTCGTCTGGGCCCGCTCTTGTGGTCGTCTTTGGAGCTTCTTCGGCCATCTTGGAAGCCTCTGGAGCTGTCCAGGGGCCCTCCGGGGCCGTTGTGGGCGCTTTTGGATGCCTCTTGGGTCGTGTGGGGGCGATTCTAGAAGCCTCTTGGGCCGTCTTGGAGCGCTGGAAAGTTCCCGCGGCGACAACGCCAAAAACCTTCAAAACTGAAGGGGAGTCATTAATTTCTTGCTCAGTGGACCCTCTGGGGAGGTCTCTTGGGGCCTCTTGGGGGTCTCTTGGGGTCTCTCGGGGGCCGCTTGGGGGCTTCTTAGGGACCTCTGCGGGCTTCCAGGGCACCTTTCGGTGGCTAGAGCTCAACATGCCCGTTCGGGTCCCTCGTCTGGGCCCGCTCTTGTGGGGCCGTCTTTGGAGCTTCTTCGGCCATCTTGGAAGCCTCTGGAGCTGTCTAGGGGCCCTCTGGGGCCGTTGTGGGCGCTCTTGGATGCCTCTTGGGTCGTGTGGGGGCGATCCTGGAAGCCTCTTGGGCCGTCTTGGGGCGCCGGAAAGCTCCCACGGCGAGAACGCCAAAAACCTTCAAAAACTAAAGGGAAACTATTCATTTCTGGCTCAGTGGACCCTCTGGGGAGATCTCTTGGGGCCTATTGGGGGTCTCTAAAAACTGAAGGGGAATCATTAATTCCTGGCTCAGTGGACCCTCTGGGGAGGTCTCTTGGGGCCTCTTGGGGTCTCTTGGGGCCTCTCGGGGGCCTCTTGGGGGTGTCTGCGGGCTTCCAGGGCACCTTTCGGTGGCTAGAGCTCAACATGTCCGTTCGAGTCCCTCGTCTGGGCCCGCTCTTGGGACAGTCTTTGGAGCTTCTTCGGCCATCTTGGCAGCCTCTGGGGCTGTCTAGGGGCCCTATGGGGCCGTTGTGGGCGCTCTTGGAGGGCTACTAGAAGCGCTTTTGGAGACCTCTTGGGCAATGTTGGGGCGATCCTTGAGCCTCTGGGCCGTTTTGGAACGCCGGTAAGCTCCCAAGGCGAGAACGTCTAACATCTGCCTCTGTGGGTTGTCTTGGGAGGTCGGCCTCTTGGGGCGTCTTGCAGGCGCTTTGGGCTGTCTCGAGGCCATCTTTGGCGTCTTGGATCGCTCTTGGGCCGTCTCGGGCAATGTTGAGTTCTCTTGGAGCCCACTTGAAGCGCTCCTGGAAGGCTCTTGGGAGTCTGCCGGGACATGCCCGGGACCTGGCCGGCAACGGCTGCGCTCTCTCTGCGCTCGCAGTTTATTCCCAAATCGCGCTCTCGCGCGTGAATTCCTCACAATTCATGCAGGAATCGCGCTCTCGCGTGGGACTCCCTGACAATTTATTCAGACGCCGCGCCATCGACACTCAGGGATCACGCTCTCGCTTTGGCCTTTCTCGCGATGTACTTGGGAATCGTGCTATCGCTCGAGACTTCCTCGCGATTCATGCAGGACTCACGCTTCAGCAACCCGCCTGCTCGGCCTGGCCACCTGGGCCTGCCTTTCCGACCCGCCCGTTAGGTTCTACCCGCCCGATCCGCCCGTATGGTTTTGCCAAGTGTTTCCTGCTCCTAGCCCCTCTCCTGTTAATTTCTCTTGTGCTCCATCCTTCTCCCTTCCCCTTCTATCCGTGCTCTCTTCCCTTGTCTTAGGGACGGCACTAATTACACGTGGCAGGTAAGGAAGATACCACCCCAATAGGGTACGATTGAAGATGAAGAGGGCGGGTATCGAGGGTTTGGGATGTACGTGTTGAATGGCACGCGAGCAGGTACGAGCGAACAGTCTTAACATAATTGTGTGCTGTTGGAAATGATGCGGCGACAGTGGCAGTGCGCCGCCATCGAGGCCCTGAATCGAGGGCCGGCGCCTTCTAACACCTCCGCGCGGCAGCTTGTGCTGCCTGAAGCGCGGGCTCCTCCTTGTGCTCCCGCGCCGCCTCCTTCTTCTTCTTCTTCTTCTTCTTCTTCTTCTTATTCTACCTCTTCTTCTTCTTCTTCTCCTTATTGCTGTTGTTGTTATTGCTATTGTTGTTGTTATTGTTGTTGCTGTAGTAGTAGTAGTAGTAGTAGTAGTAGTAGTAGTAGTAGTAGTAGTAGTAGTAGTAGTAGTAGTAGTAGTAGTAGTAGTAGTCGTAGTAGTAGTAGTAGTACTAGTAGTACTAGTAGTACTAGTAGTACTAGTTGTTGTTGTTGTTGTTGTTGTTGTTGTTGTTGCCATTATTATTGCTATCACTATTATTATTTCTATTACTATTATTCGTAGTATTATTATTTCCAGTAAGGGCTTCGCCCCTGCCGCCGGCCCCCTCTCTCGGAGAATGGGCCATGGAACAGCGAAGTCATGAGGCTTTGGCTTCGCCGTGAAGCAGTGTCGGGACCTGTTTGTTTTTCGACCCTGACCTTACGCATCTGCGTGAGGGATGCCGCCGAATTTCAGAAATGTGGCAAATCCCTTGTGTTTTTGGACCCTGAACCTACGGATCTGCGTGAGGGGTGCCGACGAATTTCAGACATGTGGCAAATCCTTTGTATGTTTTTGGACCCCGACCCTGCCGATCTGCGTGAGGGGTGCCACCGAATTTCAGAAATTTACCAAATCCCTTCTGATTTCGGACCCTGACCCCGCCGATCTGTTTGAGGGGTGCCACCGAATTCCAGAAATGTGGCAAATCCTTTATGTGTGTGTTTTGGACCCTGACCCCGCGGATCTGCGTGAGGGGTGCCATCGAATTTCAGAAATGTGGCAAATCCCCTTCTGTTTTTGGACCCTGGCCCCGCCGATCTGCGTGAGGGGTGCCACCGGATTTCAGAAATGTTGTAAATCCCTTGTGTTCTTGGACCCTGACCCCGCCGATCTGCGTGAGGGGTGCCAACTAATTTCAGAAATGTGGCACATCTTTTTTTTGTGTTTTGTTCCCTGACCCCGCGGATCTGCGTGAGGGGTTCCACCGAATATCAGAAATGTACCAAATCCCTTGTGTTTTTGGACCCTGACCCCGCCGATCTGAGTGAGGTGCCACCGAATTTCAGAAATGTGGCAAATCCTTTGTGTTTCCGGACCCTGACCCCGCCGATCTGCTTGAGGGGTGCCACCGAAATTGAGAAATGTAGCAAATCCTTTGTGTTCTTGGACCCTGACCCCGCCGATCTGTGTGAGGGGTGCCACCGAACTTGAGACATGTGGCAAATCCTTTGTGTTTTTGGACCCTGACCCCGCCGATCTGCGTGAGGGGTGTTAATTTTTAACCACCCCAGCAATTCAGACAATACAATTTGGCAGTGGTGAAAATGCCCCTTTTGGGCCTCCCCCCCTCGTACGGTCTATCAACCAGGAACAGTAAGCAGCAAGAAGTCAACAAGGAACAGTAAGCAGCAAGAAGCAAAACTGTAACAGTGGAAACTGGAAGCTGCAACTGGTACAGGAAACTGCGAACCTCCGGCCCACAGCCTGGTGGCCCCGCAAGGGGGCCGGCGGACTGTTATTATCCTTATCTGTCTTCTTTTTCTTCTCGTCGTCCTTCTCCATCTCCTCCCCTGCCCGTGACCGCCTCCCTCCTCGTTGCCCTCCGCAGCACTGCCGCGGGAGCCTGCCATGCTTGCCTGCCCGCCGTCGCAGGCCCCTGCTCCTCCAGGAGGACAGCGGCGCAGAGGAGCTGGCGGGACCTCCTGCAGCGGCGCCTCCAGCCCTGCACTCTGCAGCGTTCTCGCCCGCAGCGCTCTCCGTGGGGGCGGACTTCCTCTCGCCGTGTCCTCGTCCACCTCCGTGGTCCGCACGTCGCGCGTGGTGGTGCATACTGTCACGGTGCACGGAGTCGAGCATGCCTGTGTGGACGTCGTACTCTGCTGCGTGGGCTCCGTGTCGGCCATGGGTCATTATCCGCAGACCAGGTCTTCCATGTCTCGCGATGCTTTATGTTTGGGTTCCAGGGTCACAGTATCGTGGCTTCGCCTCTTTTGTGTCGATGTGTTGACGGTCGGTTTCCGTCCATGTCGAGAGCCCCACGCTTTGCATCATAAGCGCAGCCTTCCTATGCGTAACTATCGACAAAGTTTTTGTGTTAGGCGCTCTTCGTCCTCGCTGCATGTACGTATTTGACATTTCCTTGCACCAGCGTCAGTGCTTCGGGTAGATATGCCCGTGCGGGCCTTGACCAAGTGTGTGGACCTGTGGCTTCATGAGGGAATGAATTCTTTGCTTACGCGTCCCGTACCATTGCTCGCCCATTGCATCCTTTAGCGCGTCGGAGGAATAGCGCGCGCGCGTGCGTGCGTGCGTGCGTGCGTGTGTGTGTGTGTGTGTGTGTGTGTGTGTGTGTACCGCGCCCCCGTAGCCACTTGGCTCAAACCATCGCACGGGGGGCGTTCCTTCCCCTGGGGTCGGGGCTTAGGGTTGGCTGGCGTGGCCTGGGCGGCGCGGCCGCGATGCCGCCGGGCCGGCAGGGAGACTCGGGCGGCGCGGAGGCGGCGGCAGCGGCGGCTCGCCTGGGAGCGCGCGGTGCTCGCTGCCAGCGGAATGCGCGGTGCTCGCTGCCAGCGCCGCGGGCGCCTTGGTGTCGCTGGTGCCGAGGGCGCCGAGGCTGCCGTGCGCGCTGCCGGTGCCGAGAGCGTCGCCGGTGCCGCCGGCGCCGTGGACGCCGCGGTCGCCGCTGGCGCCGCTGGTGCCGTGGCCGCCGCTGGCGCCGCCAGTGGCCCTGCTTTGGTGCTGCTGGTGTCGCTGTTGCTGCCGCCGGCGCTGTGCGCGTTGCGGCCGCCGGGTGGGCGGCGGCGGCGCTGTGCGTGCTGTGCGCACTGTGCGCGCTGGCGCCGCTGGCGCCACGTGTGCTGGGGGTCGCGCGGGCGCCGCGGCGCACGCTGCCAGCGCCTGGTGTTCCACGGGCGCCGCGCGCGCTGCCGCCGAGGCCGCCGCCGCGGCGGCTGCCGCTGGCCTGTGGGCCGCGGCGGCCGCCCTCTCCCGCGCGGCGGCCGCCGCCGCCGCGGCCTGGCGGGCCGCCTGGCCTGGCGCTGGCCTGGCGCTGGCCAGCGCCACGGGCCCCGCCGTGGCAGCAGAGCAGGGGGCACCGACGGCAGCATCCTCGCCAGCCCAGCGTGGAGCACCGACGTCAGCATCCCCGCCAGCTCGGCATGGAGCGCCGACGCCAGAAGGTTCCTCAGCGCAGCCAGGAGTACAGACGCCAGCTTCTTCGCCAGCGCTGCCGAGAGCACCGACGCCATCATCCCTGTCAGCACAGCCTGCGGGGACGTGAGGTTGCCCTCGCAACAGTGCGCCTCAACGAAAGCCGTCTGCGAGAGCGCCCAGATCGTCCCACCGTGCCGCGGTTGCCCTCCGTGGGGCGAGGCTGTCGGAGTCCCCAGGATGCCCCTCTGCGACGCGGAGCACCTTGCCCCGGGTGCGTCAGTGTGAGCAGGGAGCACTCAGCCCCATTTCTCCGTGCTTGCACCGATTAGGTGCGGTCCCGGACCCGAGGCGGAAGGGGGAGGAAGCGGGGACGGACCGCATGGATGCCTTCCGTGCGGCACGGAGCACCTTATTCTGGGCGAGGCGATGCTTGCAGGGAGGGCGCAGCCCCATTCCGCAGACATCGCGCCGATTAGGTGCGCCCCCAGACCCGGAAGGGACGTGTGAGGAGGAGGCGACGAGCCTGCGGACGCCCTCCGTGCGACACGGAGCACCCTACCGTGGGTGCGACGATGCCTGCAGGGAGGGCTCAGCCCCATCTCGCTGTTCTCGCATCGATGAGGTGTTATCTAGGTGTTCTCCTGGACCCAGGGCGGAAAGGGGGAGGGGGCGGGAACGGATGCCACGGGCGCCCTCCGTGCGACGACCACCTCAACCTGGGCACGACGCTGTCCACGGGGAGGGCGCAGCTCCACCCCTCAGACCCTGCGCCGAAAAGGTGCGTACCCACACCTGGGAGGGAGGAAGAGCTGAAGGCGACGAGCACCACGGATGCCCTCCGTGCGACGCGGAGCTCTTTACCGTGGATGCGACGATGTCCGCAGGGAGGGCTCAGCCCCATGTCATTGGCTTCGCGCCGACTTGGTGCGCTCCTGGGCCCAGGGCTGAAAGGGGTGTGGCGGGGGCGGGCACCGCGGACGCCCTCCGTGCGACTCGGATCACCCTACTCTGGGTGTGACGATGTCAGCAGCGAGGGCTCAGCCCCACTCCGCCGACCTCGCGCCGATTAGGTGCGCTGCACTCGCTTCCTCGTCGCCGCGGCTGGACTCTCGGGGCGTCGGAGATCACGTGGGCGGAGGAACGGGGCAGCTTGGGCATTCCTCGTCGCCGCGGCCGGAAAGAGGAACCCGGCGGCGCCAGCTGTGAGCAGCGCGACGAACCCTCGTCGCAGTTTCGGGAGAGGCACTGCGGAGGAGCGGGCCTCGTACTCAGACCTGACACTGCTGAAAGGACCAGGGAACCCAGCGGCGCCTTACCAGGGCCCGGCTCACCCAGAAGCGGACCTATAGTGAGGGCGCCGAACAGGAAGTTACCACGAATAACGGCGCCCCCAGGCACGGGGCCGGTGCGAGCGAGATGGTTCAGCCAGCGCGCGAGGTGCCCACAGGTCTGGATACTGCCCCGGCGACCCCAGGTTCACCGGCGAAGGCGGCGCGCAGCATCAGCCAGACGCCCAAGCAGCATGCGGAACCAGGCAGTGGGACAGGGCTGCGGGGACGACCGATCCCCTTGGTTCGACCGCAGACGTCCCCACTGACTCGCCCCCTGGCTCCTCGGTTCGAGTAGTTACTGGGCGCGGATGGCCAGGTCCACGCAATCCCTTCTGATGCAGCCGTTTGCAAAGAGGCCGCCGATACCTGGAGGAATTCTGGCTGCCGCTCCGCCCGGTGGCTGGGGAGCTGGGCCCGCAGGTCGGCGCGGCACCGCTGCCCCGAGAGGAGGTGGCCAGACAGGCGGACCGAGCCGCACTCAATCGCCTGGTCAGCAGAGGCCCCTTCGCTCCCATCCGCCCGCCCCCCTTCGACAGCGGATCGGACGGCCCCCATCCTCCGGGGGGCGGAAGCGGTGCCCCTGAAGGTGGTCCCGCGACGGCCCTGGTCCAAGACGACGACGCCGATGCCTACCCCGACGCCGACGCCGACGCCGACGGCGACGGCGGCGACGACGAAAACGACGCCCGCGCCGACGCTGACGCCGACGCCGACGCCGGTGCCGACCCCGACGACGACGCCGACACCGCCCCCGTCGCCGACGCGCGTCCCGGATGTCCCTCGTCGCCACAGCGGAGAGCGGAACCCAGACGGCTTCGGTCCGAGACGACGACGCCGACGCCTACCCTGACGCCGACGCCGATGCCGATGCCGACGCTGACGCCGATGCCGACGCCGATGGCGACGACGACGACGACGCCCACGCCGATGCTGACGCCGACGCCGACGCCGGCGCCGACCCCGACGACGACGCCGATGCCGCCCCCGTCGCCGACGCGCATCCCGGATGTCCCTCGTCGCCACGGCCGGAAAGCGGAACCCCGGCAGTTCAATCGTGACCAGCGGAACCCACCAGCGCAATCCAGTCGGGGCGGTGCGTGGCGACCGTCCTTGCAGCCCGCTGGAGCAGCGGCGGTAGCCCGCGATTGGGTAGCCGCCGACGAGCATCAGTGCTGTAACCCGCCGCCCGCCCCGGAGGCTCCTCGCTGTTCCCCTGCAGCGACGGACGCTGGCGGCTCCAGCGCCGCGGGTTGCCCCAGCGCCCTTCCGCGAGGGGTGACACCTCCGCCTGCGCGACGAGAGGTCCTGCCCTTCGTCAAAGACACTTGTGCCGCTTTGCCAAACGCCCGCGCCTTCTGGGATTCGTTCACGTCGGACTACAGGGAGCAGGGCGAGGGGCGGGCGCGTCCTGGCGATGTCCCACTAAGCGTCTTGCTCAACTTCTTCAACTCGAAGAGAGCTCTGGTGGCCCGGGTCATGAGGATGCAGCAAACAGGTGGTGAACCCCAGCCGGCACGACGCCAGTTTCCTCCGCTGCTTCCTCCGCCACGCCTCGTTTCCCTGTGCTCCCACTTGCAGGATACAGCACCACACCTTCCTGCACATGAAGTCGCCCCGACCTGGCCCACCTTGTCTACCCGGGCAATGGGGGCCGCCGGCTTCACCCACAGTTTTGAGTGGCCGCGGAGCGCCGATTGCTGCCCATCCCAGCGGCGAGCGGCCTCCCTGGCCCTCCCGTTGGCCTACCCTGTCCACCCGGGCAGTGGGGGCCGCCCTCCCTCCCTCCGCGCGCCGCCACGGTCTCATGGGCGCATGGGTCGCTGCGTGCAGCCGCATCGCGTTTGGGACCCCGGGCCTGGTCTTGCCCATGTGTTCCTCCGCGTTGACCCGGCATTTTGCTGGATGCGGTCCAACCTGGATGCTCGCACCCTGTCCTGCGCCTCCACCTGGGCGGCGCGCGGCCCGCCGGCCTGGCAGTGCCCGCTCTGGGCCCCGCCTCGGCAGGTGCACGGGCGCAGCAGCCGCCGCAGTCCCCGCCGGCGGGGCTGGCCGTGCCAGCCCACCCCGGGGTGTGATCCATCCCCTCTGAGCAGCCCTCGCCTTGCTTTCCCCCGTTTACGGCCGCCCGCCTGCCCCGTTCCCCTTCTTTCGCACGCCGGCCACTTCGCTACAACGGTGACACCACTGAGTTAGATCCACCCGCCAGCGCAGACGACCCTTGTTCAGCCGCCGACGCAACGAACAAAAATGTGTGTTCCGCGCTTGAGGCCTTTCTGCGCCGCCGGCTCAAAAAGTGTGTGTGTGTGTGGGGGGGTGAATGTGTGTGTGTGTGTGTGTGTGTTCGTGTGTGTGTGTGTGTGTTCGTGCGCGTGTGTGTGACCGCGTGAGCTCGGCCAGACCGCGCGTTCGCCTGACATGACCTACGCCGTGCCGCCGCGCGTGTGGCCGCGACGCCATCATGTGTGTGCGTGTGGGTGTCGATTCGGCCGGCGCAGTCCACCGCGCTCCCGATGACGGCGACAACGGCGACGAGCACGACGACGGTGATGATGATGATGATGATGATGATGATGATGATGATGATGATGACGATGGGGATGATGGTGGTACTGAAGCTGATGATGACGGAGATGACGATGATCATGATGCTGATTTTGGAAATGGTGATGCTTAGGACGACGGCGATGCGTTTGATGATG